ATGTGAAGTAAGAAAGCAAGAATGGAAACAAATTTTTAAAGAAATAAGGGAAATAACTGGATTAAATATTCAAATATCCCCATCAATGGCTTTATTGAATTTGATCAAGAAGGATCAATTGTTGAAAGAAAATAAAGATTTAATAGTAATAATGATTACGGCAGCAAGGTTAATTTTTGCAAGAAACTGGATAAATGATAACCAACTCAATTTAGAGGAATGGCATAGAGAACTATGGGATATGGCAATTAATGATAAACAAATGTGATATGAAAATAAGAAGAGGCCTATCAAAAAAATGATGATTTTAAGAAAATATGGAGTGTATTCTTGGAATATGTATTTTGGAGAGGGAAGGAGTATACACTGAGGGAGGAAACAATGAAGTTTTGGAGAGAAAATGGACTGAATGAAATTTAAAATTTTATTAATGCTAGCCCTGAGGGTGACGGCGGCACTGGTATATTATGTAATTGTATTTTATTGTGCTGTTAGGTTTATGTTGTTTAGATCGGATATTTAATAAATTTATTTTTAAAAATATATATTGTAAATAAATAAATAAATTACAGAGGGTTTACCTGTGCCTGTTCCTTTTTCCAAGTTCATCTTCAGAGACAGGGTCAATATCTGGCAGGGGGATTATGTAGCCACTGTCAGCACTGAGTCTTTGTTCATCAAATCCACTCTCTCTGTCCTTCAGTTTGTCCTCATTCTTGTAAGTGACTCCAATGTAGGTGTTGTCACAGTCAGCTCTCATGCGTGTGACAGCAGGGTGGTCACTCTTCAGGAAGTCTAAGTGAATCCTCTCGTAACTCTGAAAAATATTGATTTAGCAGACTTGGCTCAGCTGACTTGTGACTGCATCCCACCCCTAGTACTGTCTTGCACTTTTTCTTTATAAAAGCTGGTACTGTGCTACCGTAAGAGTCCTTTCAGGGTGCATGGGTTGGACTTCAAAGCTATGGTGCCTGTTGCCACCATCTGTGAGGGAGAGGAAGGACAAGTCAGGGAGTGTCCAAGAAAATATTAAGTCCTTGGTATGCTAGATTTTATCTCCAGAAGTTTTAAAGAGACTGGTCTGTTTTCTGTTGAGCATGTATATCACTCTGTTGTTTTTTTTAAAAAAAACACCCTTTTTAAAGAGACTGGTCTGTTTTCTGTTGAGCATGTATATCACTGTTTTTTTTTTTAAAAAAAAACACACCACCCTTCATATGATTGGTGGGATTCTATCTTTAAAGATGTAGAATTGTCAGTCACTAATAGCACTAACCAATAGTTAGTGGGAATTTTACACTATCTGCTCTGTGAATTCCTGCACTTCTGCTACACAACTAGAGGGATTTAATCCAAATTCAAAATTCTGCAACAGTTTCACAATGTTAAGAAAAATGGGATTACTATCCACTACACCATGCTGGGTAATCTCATTAGCATAATTTATTATGGTGGATGTTTCTAGTTTCTTTTGGCTTTTAGTCTGTCTTTAACTCGAACTCGAACTGTATTGGCAGCCATGGCAGTTCTTTCAGAACCAGTGTCATATGGGCTACTGCACATTGCACTCATTGCACAATCCATGTTGTCTCCAAGGACAGCCCTATATAAATTGCATTATAGTAGTCTAATACATAAACTATGATAGCCAGGTTGTCCCTGTCCAGAAATGGTCGCAACTGGCAGGCTAACTGAAGATGGCCCTAGGAAACAGGTTATCTACCTAATTCCTGAACCACCAGGCCATAGAGCCTCCATCAGCTTCAGTTTATTGGCTCTATTCCATCCTGTTACAGCCATTGCACCTGTCTTTGTGTGCATTCTGTGATGCTGTCCTGGTCTAAGCCACCATATTTCTTTATGATACTATATATTTGTGTGCAATTACAATTTCTCAGGAACATGGGGGCCAAGACTAGACTCCTACTAGCTGCTATAACCAGTAGCTGTGCAGACCAGGTAACATTCACCATGTTTATTTGGCCCAAGCCCAGACAAACTGTAAACAAATATTCCTGTGAAATTTAGTTACTAGGCAAGTTGATTTTATTCTGTATTGGTATCTAGCTTCTAACCCAGGCAAGAGATAAGAAAAAGGATGCCTGGAATCCATACAGATCCATACCACCAGTTTATCTAGCCCTTTATTGTCTCTGCTCTAAGGCGTCGGCAGTGGTTTTATCCAGGAACATGGGAAGCTGCCCTGTACTGAGTCAGTCCCTTGCTCATCTAGCCAAGTCTTGTCAACACAAACTGGACAGGACCTCTCCATGGCTTCAGGCAGGAATCTTATCTTGAGATTCTCAGCCCTGTGTGTGAAATCTTTTGAATCTGAGATGCTAGGACTCGAAGTAAGGAAGATGGATAGCTCAGCATAATCACTGTAGGCCCTCATGCTGCTTGGAAGCTGGCTCTAGGGAACCTCTGCATTCTGCCAAGCCATTGGGGGTGTGCATGAGGAAAGAGAAGTACACCAACCCACTTCTGCTGACATAAGCAGTTATCTCAGGGAAGGCACCTTTCTGGAACCTCACCTGTGTCTCTACCGTTTGACCATTCTCTACAATGTCATTTCAAATCAACTTACAACTGACTCCACTTTAGATCTAAAGCTCACTAACACAACTGAGGAACCTCTTCTGAGATCACTCCTTCATTTTTTACCCTCCAGTATTTAAAAAGACAAACCTTCTTGTATTCTCCAGGCAACAGATTTTCAACTATTTCACTCAAGTGGTAAAAAGAAGGCCTTTTCTCAGGTTCACTGTTCCAGCATTTCACCATGATGTCATATCTGTGAACAGGGAGTGGGGGAATGGTTTAAGCGCCTGCAGTTTGGACATTTTGAAAGGGAATTAATGACAGAATACAGGGTGGAGACAACCATAACAGAAAAGGGGAGCGCTGTGTCACTCTCAGACATAGGACACGCTCAGTTTTATTTCTGTGACAATAAATGTGCATCCCAGTGGACGAAACATGATTCACTATTACTCTATCCTCCATGCTTTCTGTAAGCTGTCCAAAATGCTTAATTCTTAGAAGAGTGAAATGAGCATTTATATGTTTGTTCATTTGTCACCTTAAAAGATAAGTTTTCTTAAAATGCAAACAAATTGTGGAAAAATCCCATCAGCATCCTTCACAGGTGGCTCTGCCACAAACTTGTAGAACATTCCATAAGTCAGCTCTTTATCCCAGTTTGGGATATTTTTGGATTGCATACTGAGAGGACGTGGACTCAATGTATGCACAGTAGGTATTGTTTCTGTCAGGTAGTTTAGGTATCTGGCTGCGGAGTTGGGAGTTCGATTTCCCACTGTGCCTCCTTAACACATAGGGGAGTTCCATGGGGCCCCTTCCAGCTCTGCAGTTCAGAGATGATGGTGACAAATAAGAAGGAAAAGAAAAATACATACACTTCATTGGTAGCATGGTCCGGCTTTGCCATTCGATAGCCACTTTTGATTTTGTTATAAAATGTAGAGTCAACCATCATGCCAGGGTAAGGGGTACCACCTGAAATTAAAGAGAAATAAGATATTGTTAAATAGTCAAGAAAAGAGCCAGTATGACATTATGGCTAAAGTGACGGACTGGTGGGTAGGAGACTGAGGTTCAAGTCCACACTGGTCAGTGAAATGCACTGGGCCACCTTCAACCTGACCTATCTCACAGGCTTGTTGTGAGGAGAAGACCAGGAAGAAGAAAACCAGGAGTTCCACTTTCAGGTTGATGGAAGAAAGTGGGGTATAAACATAAACAATAATAAATAGTCAAAAAAATTTTTTTTAAATAAAGGCTGAGTGCTATTGATGGAAGAAAGTGGGGTATAAACATAAATAATAATAAATAGTGCAAAAGATTTTTTAAAATAAAAGCTGAGTGCTATCTAACAAAATACAGTGGTGCCTCGTTTAACGAACGATTCGTTTAACGACGAATCTGCATTCAGGAGTTCCACTTTCAGGTTGATGGAAGAAAGTGGGGTATAAACATAAACAATAATAAATAGTCAAAAAAATTTTTTTTAAATAAAGGCTGAGTGCTATCTAATAAAATACAGTGGTGCCTCGCTTAACGAGCAATTTGTTTAATGACGAATCCGCATTGCGATTTAGTTTTTGCGATTGCAAAAGTGATCGCATAACGATGTTTTAAATGGGAAAACATCGCTTTGCAATGATCGGTAAGCTGTTTTGCTTACAGATTATCGCATAATGATGTTTTTCCAACAGCTGATCGGCGGTTCTAAAATGACCACCGGGTGAAGAAAATGGCCACCCGCTGTGTTTTCGTGCCCCTTCCTCACTTACAGGGCAGCGAAAATAGTGGCCGCATGGAGGATTTCCGCATAACGGTGAGTTTTTTGCCCATAGGAACGCATTAAACATGTTTTAATGCGTTCCTATGGGCTTTTTTGCCTCGCATAGTGACGAATCCACATAGTGACGATTTTTTTCAGAACGGATTATCATCGCTATGCGGGGCACCACTGTATTGCAACTTGTTCAATGTACATTGAAGACAAGGCTTTAAACAGTTCCCCAAAATTCCAGAAAGTAATTTGAATCAAGTTACAACCAAGATATGATCTGATTATACCCTTGAAGCATCCACATGTCAAACAGGCACAGAATGTCTGAATAAGATGATTCCTCTTGGGTTTTCTGCTTGCCAATGATTGGGAAAAGTCAGCATAGGGCACAGTTAACCAAGGCTGTGTTTGCAGGAGGTACCTTGTGGAAATATTTGTAAAAAAACCTAACTTGCCAGCGGACAATGATAACAACTATTGACCCGTCACCAATGTTCCCTTTCTCAGCAAGCTAGTGGAGAGAGCGGTAGATGATCACTTAGAGGAAATATGTATGGAGAGAGTGGTGGCTGATCAGCTTCAGGTGCTCCTGGAGGAGACCAATGCCCTTTGATCCACTCCAGTCTGGCTTCAGGCCCACACCATGGCATGGAGACAGCATTGGCCACTCTGCAAGTTGACCTTTTGAGGGAGACTGATAGGGGAAAATGTCCTTGTTGGTCCTCCTCAGCCTATCAGTGGCCTTCAATACCATCAACCACGGTATCCTCCTGGGGTGGCTCTCTGGGTTGGGGACTGGCAGCCTGGCCTTGGCCTGGCTCCGGTCCTTCCTCAGGGACCATCCTCAGAGAGTACAGCTTGGCGAGATAATGTCCACCCCTTGGACCCTTGTGTGTATTCTCTCAGGGATAGATCATCTCCCCAATGTTGTTTAATATCTATATGAGGCCTCTGGGGGAGGTCATAAGAAGTTTGGAGCTTTGTGTCACCAGCTCTACCTCTCCTTCCATCCTTCTGAAGAGGATGATGTCCCATCCCTTGAGCATTGCCTGGATGCCGTGCTGGGTGGATGAGGGAAAATAGAATGAGGCTGAACCCAGGCAAGACTGAGATCTTGCAGGTGGGTGCCCCTAGTGTTTGTGGATTTGGTGCCTCCTCTCTTTTTGGGGGGTGGTGTTACTCTTTCTGCTAAGGATGAGGTTTGCAGCTTTGGTGTACTACTGGACCCAGCACTATCAATGGAGCCTCAGATAGCATCTGTGATCCATTCTGCCTACTTCCACCTAAGACAGGCCTTCCCGGACCTTGCAATACCTTAATTACAACATCTAATTACAGTGAGTGGTCTCAACACTTACGCTATCAGTCCTGCTGTCTTGCTCTATATTATTTTAATTATTATTATTTAAATTGTTGGTTGTGTTATCCTTATTTTGATTTTATATTATTATGTTCATTGTTTACGTTGGAATTGTGTATGTTTTATTTGTTTAGTATGTAAACTGCCCAGAGTGGCCTAGTAGCCAGATGGGCAGTATAGAAGCCAAATACATACACATACATACATACATACATACATACATACAGACAGACAGACAGACAGACAGACAGACAGACAGACAGACAGACAGACAGACAGACAGACAGACAGACAGACAGACAGACAGACAGACAGACAGACAGACAGACAGACAGACAGACAGACAGACAGACAGACAGACAGACAGACAGACAGACAGACAGAGTAGTTTGGAAATGTTTCTTTGGGCACTGAATTCAGCTTGCTGAGATTCAAGCAATAGATTCACAAACTTTCTGTTTGTTTGGTTGTTGTTGTTTTGGAGGGGGCTTGTTTTAGAAAGGGAGGGGGTTGAATCTGGAATATTTTTGGTCTTTCTTGCATGGATTCTTCTTTCCCCCATTGACTCACTAGATTTTTCCAGGATTTACTAGAATTTGAAGGACCCTTCAAGACTTTCCGAGAAGTACATTTTTCTTGAACTTCAAGAATTTTTTCAATCATGCTATCACAAAAGTATAGAGTTAGTAGTGTGCCGGTAATCAGGGGGACAAGTACAAAGCAAAGTAAAATCAAAAATTGTCATTCATTTTCTATTTGCATTTATTTAAGATGCTACTAGCTGGTATTTGGATCTCTGAGGCACAGTGGTTCCATTTTCAAGGATAAAAGCCAGAAACTTTATGGGCAAATGGCCTACAGTTAATATAAAAAGGCAGTTACTCACTATATTAGGTTTTTTTTTCATACTGGTCTATCCAGTGTTGATTTATGGATCGGTTTATTGACATCAGTACATTTCCGTTACTAACAACACCTTTTTATACTTAGAGGAAATATGTAATACAGCATTAATAAATACAAATTTAATGCTGTGTGTGTACAAACGTATCATCTGACAATCATGCATGCAAAACCTACATTGAAATGAAAGGGGCTACAAATTCAATCAAACCCCCAATGTATTCAAAAAGTTTGGAGGAACAGGTGAGTGGGTGCAATCATTTATCTGAGGCATCATTTGGTCCAGGGCCAGCCCTGCCCTGCCCTCACCCTTCACTTAATTTACAGGAAACCACTGTCTAGAGACCTAGTTAAGGGACAGAGACTCAAGAGAGGGTCTGGCCACACCCCATCCACACTGGAGATAATCAGCAATAGTTGTGGGAGGTATATAATATGCAGATAAAGAATAACTATTGGGATGTGTAAAGTATTGGTCCTTTCTGGCCCATTTTGAGATATAGCCCTCTGCTCCAATTATTGTACAGATGGGCTCCAAAAACCACATATTTTGAAAATAGCAATTAGCTTTAGCAGAGAATCTGTGGGGTGGACTTCTGACCCTCTTGATCAGAGATGGCAAAGTGTGGTCTTCCAGGTGTTGTTGAACTCAGAGTCTCAGAAGTCCAAGAGGAAAGAGACAACAGAGAGGGAGGAGGGGGTTGCAGTAACATCCAGAGAGGGGTAGAGCATGCCTGTACCTGCGCTAGATATTACTGAACTTCCGCAAGCCAGCATGGCCAATGGACGGAGTTGATGGGCATCAAATTCTCCAATGCTTGGGAGGCTATACTACCAGCTATAGACATTCATCTAAACAATAGCATGCTTGTAAATCTCCAAAGATTTATGCAGATTGGTTATTTTATATGCCAGAATAATTATGATACCTACCAAGAGAAAATATTTCCCAGAGCAGAATGCCATAAGACCAGACATCACTTAATGTTGTATACAGGTTATCAAAAATGCTTTCAGGTGCCATCCATTTCACTGGAAGGAAGGTCTAAAAGAATGCAAAGAGTCAATGAGAATGAATACAGGAGCAAACATAAGAGGTTCATAACCAATATATTTAAATTTGATTTCTAGACTGTTTCAGAGGCTTCGGGTGGGTAGCAGAATTTAAAATCACCATTGTAGTTATCATTGTCATCACTATTGTTGTCATCATCATATCACACTGTCACTAACTAGCCAAATATAATGAAGCTTTTTAAAAGTGTTATACTACAGAATCAATAGTATCATCTGATGAAATATCAGATTTTCCGCATTTCAGGTTTGTTTAAGAAATTTCTATTCCATACAGTAACAATTGCTGTGTGATTATGAGCCTCGCATTCCATCATTAATTACAGAAGCCAGTGGAAAGAAAGTAATTGATTTCTACAGAAAGACACTGAAGAGTGTTTCCATGCTAGTTGATTGAATAAGGTCTTGGGAAATGAGGGCCTGATTAAAAAAATTAAAGAAACACTTATGTTCATTTACTTTTATCCCAGTATGTCTGTGAATATTCTCAGTCATCCAGGTGAGGTTATCTGGAAGTTGAGTCATGGCAACTGGACTTCTTTCTTACTGGGTTGAAACATTTTGCTACTCATCCAAGTAGCTTCTTCCATCTGAGGAGAGTTGGTAGGAGATCCCTGATAAAGCTTCCACACTGGATGAGTAGCAAAACATTTCAACCTAATAAGAAAGAAGTCCAGTTGCCATGACTCAACTTCGAGATTTTATCCCAGTATTAATATATTTTTGGTCTAAGATCCTATGCTAGTTAAAAAACTAGGGCTACAATATATCTGTGAAGATTCGCAGTGTCCAGTTGCCATGACTCAGCTTCAAGATTTTATCCCAGTATTAATATATTTGATCTAAGACCCTATGCTAGTTAAAAAAACTAGGGGTACAATATATCTGTGAAGATTCTCAGTCAGGTGAAGTTATCTGGAAGTTGACTCATGGCAACTGGAAAGAAGTCCAATTGCCATCACTCAGTTTCCAGACAAGACTACAGTGGTTTGGTTCATAGGAAGGTAGCTCGGGATCCATAGAATTTTTCATAGGATCTCCTTCTCTGAGGTTTAGGAGGTCTGCTTTCATATGCCTCCATGAGAAAGATGGTATTCTTCCAACAGAGCTGCAATGGCCCTGGAGTTGTACTTCTTATTTCCTTGCCTTTGGAATCAATTCTGAAGATCTCCAAATGGGAGTGGATGAGCAGGGGTGGTTAAAAGAGCGTCGCCACCTTCCACATGGCCAACCCCTATTGCTGAACCAGTCATGGTGATAGAGAGGATTTTCCCTTCCCTGTCCCCAAAGGATTACTGTCCCCAAAAAATAAAGCTAAAGGTACATACACTGCCTTTGGACACATAGTTCGAGTCATGCATGATATCTCTAGCCAATCCAAAGTCACAGATCTTCACAATTTTCCCTTGCGCCAAGAGGACATTTCGTGCTGCCAAATCGCGATGCACACACTACAGAATAAAGAAGTGACATTAAGAGTGGCCCCACCAATTCATTGTCTTCAATGCATGTGACACTTAACAAGTGCTAAGAAGAAAACATTAATGATTTCAAGAATCTTATAGTCAAACTTTTGAAATAGGAAAGTTATCAGTGGCCATGGAGGAAAGGGAGAGAAAAGGGTATATCTGGACCTTCCAGATCTAATGGAGGGAACCATTACTTTAGTTTACACAAGGTTTCTGTATAAGCTCACTTCTGTAGATGCTGCACTACACCACACAATACACAAGCAGTAATTTTATTTAGGATGTAAGAAAAGTATATTATTTAATTAGATGCAACCCTCATTCATAATACATGTGGTAACTGTTGTTGTTGTTTAGTCATTAAGTTGTGTCCGACTCTTCGTGACCCCATGGACCAGAGCATGCCAGACCTTCCACTCCCTCCCGGAGTTGGATCAAATTCATGTTGGTAGCTTCAGTGACACTGTCCAACCATCTCCTCCTCTGTTGTCCCCTTCTCCTCTTGCCTTCACACTTTCCTAACATCAAGGTCTTTTCCAGGGAGTCTTCTCTTCTCATGAGATGGCCAAAGTATTGGAGCCTCAGCTTCAGGATGTGTCCTTCCAGTGAGCACTCACGGTTGGTTTCCTTTAGAATGGATTGGTTTGTTCTTGCAGTCCAGGGGACACTCAAGAGTCTCCTCCAGCACCACAATTCAAAAACATCAATTCTTCAGCGGTCAGCCTTCTTTATGGTCCAGCTCTCACTTCCATACATCACTACAGGAAAAACCATAACTTTGACTATGCAGACCTTTATCAGCAAGGTGAAACCTCTGCTTTTTAAGATGCTGTCTAGGGTTGTCATCGCATTCCTCCCAAGAAGCAGGCGTCTTTTAATTTTGTGGCTACTGTCACCATCTGCAGTGATCATGGAGCCTGGATCACAGTAACTATTAGCCTTTTCAATATCTTTGGGAACAAATTCACAACTGGATGCACTTTTTGGAACTATGCTCTCATCTCAGAACTGACATGTAGGATTATGTGGATCCTCACCCAAAATTGATACCTAAACAATGTGACATGTTACAACAAACATTTGATTTTAACTTAGATACCTATGTAATTCAATAACAAAACAATAGCTTTCCAGACAATGTTGAAAAAAAAGAGCATAGAAATGTCTTTGCCCAATCAGGAGTAAAAAAGTAAAAGAAAAATAATGATAAAAAAATTGGAAAGTAGCATTCTACATACCCCGACCACCTTGACACCTCCCACCCCATGAACCTTAAAACACTTCTGAAGACGATTGGTCCTCTTGCTCTCCTTGCTTTCCTTCCTGCTGGGGGAGCAAAACTGAAGACCCTCTTGGTTACAGCAGGAAGGGGAAGGAGAGGAAGTGCTCCAGAAAAGAGGAGGTGCAGCAGCTGTTACTTTGGCATCAGGCCTCTTATGATCAGACCAGAACTCTGTCTTCTTTAACATCCTGCTTCACACAGCGGCCAGCCAGATGTAACAACTCTCTCTTTCTGTAGTTTCCCAGCAATGTCTTCTTCAAGGAAGGAACTGGTATCCCTATTTGGTGATGCAGCCTTTGCCAGTCAGTGCAGAAGATCATAGCATATGTCTGGATGGCACCATGGTAACATTTCTGGAGTTGTAATTTAATCCCTTTGATTCTGAAAAGCACCCTGTTGAGAACAGCTGCTGTAATTTTTATCTTCATTCTAATCAAAAACTTGTATAATAAAACAATGTTATTGGTTGTTGTGGGTTTTTCGGGCTCTTTGGCCATGTTTTGAAGGTTGTTCTTCCTAACCTCTTATGATCAGACCAGAACTCTGTCTTCTTTAACATCCTGCTTCACACAGCGGCCAGCCAGATGTAACAACTCTCTCTTTCTGTAGTTTCCCAGCAATGTCTTCTTCAAGGAAGGAACTGGTATCCCTATTTGGTGATGCAGCCTTTGCCAGTCAGTGCAGAAGATCATAGCATATGTCTGGATGGCACCATGGTAACATTTCTGGAGTTGTAATTTAATCCCTTTGATTCTGAAAAGCACCCTGTTGAGAACAGCTGCTGTAATTTTTATCTTCATTCTAATCAAAACCTTGTATAATAAAACAATGTTATTGTTTTGAAAGGACTGGAGGATAGTTTTTATGTTGAATGTTAATGTTCTGGACACTACTCTGGAACCAAAGGCTATGGATGAAATAAATTAAACAGATCAACATAATGAATAATCTCTTGCATTTTGTGTGTTTGAGAACCATCATAGTATTTGTTTGCTGTTTCTTTTATGAAATAACTTTAAAAGCTCCCATAAACAGACATTGTTTAACATTAGAAAAAAAAATTATTCATGTTTTCCTCTTGTACATGGAAGCACATGAAAGCAAGCCCCATGGAATTTAGACTTACATTTGAATAGAAATTATAAAATCACTCTAGTGGACACTCACATTTTTAGATGCTAAGAACTCCATTCCTCGAGCCACTTGGTAAGTGAAGCTTAGTAGGTCCAGCAAACTGAGGCCTTCTGAATTGTCATCTGAAAGGAGATTTTTGACATCTTGTTGTGTAGAGAGAAGGAGAAATAAATGACAATATTTGTGAAGGGAAAATGCCTTGAAGGCTAAATCCAACAGTCAGTTTGTTTCCATGTTTAAGGAGGTGCACACAAATCAATGTGGGGGACATTTTTCAGGTCACAGACATTGAGAAAATAAGCAGATCAGCCCTCTGACATAACTGAAGACTGCTTCCCCTTAAATAGATACTGTATGTTCCCAAACAAATGCTGCTGTTGTTTTCCTACGTGAGTCTAATGGTCATTCATTCCTCTCAAGCCTCCACGGCACAACGTGTTTCTCCAAAATCTTTCTGCAAAACAAGTGACTCCTTTGTACAGTATATTCACATCAATCCGTGTCTCTTTAAAAAAAGAAAGATCCAAATCTAAAATATAGCTTTTATTTCTCTTTTGATTATAGACTTTTCTCCAGAAACTGTAAGATTAGAAAGGTACCACCCGCATAATATACAGCTTGTTGTTGTTGTTGTTTTAACTTTATTCTACTTGTGGTTTAAGCCCAAAGCAGTCATTTAGAAATGGCACATCTTGTCCAGTTTTTAAATCCATGATAATCCTTTTTAGCTTTGCTGAGCACAGTTGTATTCTTTGGTAAAGTATTCATTGGGGGTTTATGCCATGCCATCAAAGCACCAACGATTCTATGGCAGCAGCTCTTATTTTGCCCTTGAAATGACAGTAGGAAAAAAGACTAAAGTCTGGTTATTCAATCCCTTCCATTGGACCAGTGACTAAATTATAGTGGACTAGTCTGTACCAAGGAAACCTGGGTCTGGAAAAGAATCAGGTTCAGAGACCAAAGAAGCCATGGGTTGGATTTCTCTGTAAAAGAGCAGTAAAAGGGATGAGTTAGCCATATGGCATCCACTAACCCTCAATTCAGTACTTTGCCCATTGCTTGAGAGCTAGCTGCCAGGAATAACTCTTAAAAGAAAAAGTATAGCCAGATGTTCCAATTTTGATGATTACAGATGTTTTTTTTAAAAAAACACGTGCCAATTTCACATGTGACACTAACTGTAAACAGGCTTAACAATAACATTGCACTGACTAGTTCTCTTTACATCAGTCAAGTGTTGTCACTGTAACAGGTGGTCCATGGTGTGAGAGGAGGTCTCACCTAAGCTTCGGCCACAAACCACCTTTGGGCATTATCATGGAAAGGGGAAAGGGAAGGTATATGTCCTCCCATTCCAGTGGTGATTTTAACTTATGAGTATTTATTGATACAAGCACTCTGTTGTTTTAAAGAAAGCTCCTCTGCTTGTTCCACAGAAATGAGGACTCAACCAGATACAAATTCCCCATGCACTGCATACTACAGTGGGAAAATCAATTCATTCGAAATGTAGCATTGGGAGAGAGAGATGCAGACCAGCAGAAACATAAATCAATTAGTTCAAGATCAAATCAAGCCTGAACTTTCACTAGAAGCTAAAATGACTAAACTGATATTATCACACAGTGGACATATACAGAAAAGACAAGGTTTACTGGAAAAGACTATAAGGCTGGGGGGAATGGAAGGCAGCAGGAAAAGAGGATGAACTAAAATGAGATGGACTGAATTTATAAATAAAGCCATAGCCTTTAGTCTCTGGAGCAAAGAAAGACAGTTAATGAGACCTTTCAGATGTCATTAATTCATATAGTTGTGGTGAGTCAGCAACAACTTGATGGTATGTAACAACAACAGCAACCTAGTAGGAAAATACTGTACCTAAAATGACTTTGTATCCTCTTTTTATTTTTAAACAAACACACATTTTCTTGGGGTCGAACTAAATGTTAAGAGGATTGCACACCACCTATGATGATCATGTTTGGCCTCTTACAACAGGATTTCCTTACAGAGGCTTGTTTCATCCATCTGACTTGCAAATTAAATTTGTGTTTACCTTGCAGTGATGAATTACAACACAAAGCACACTGGAACACTATGCGGGAGGGTGAAGAAAAATATAATCTAGGACAAACAGGTCTTTCACCACTTAAGGGAATATCATTTCTTAACCATATTGCCAAGTGTTTCCATTAGAATCAGGATTGGGCTACCCTAATACTCAGTGCATATTTCTAGTATTTATTTATTTATTTATTTATTGGACTTATATACCGCCCCATAGTGCTACAAGCACTCTCCGGGCGGTTTACAATTTTAATTATACAGGCTACACATTGCCCCCCCAGCAAGCTGGGTACTCATTTTACCGACCTCGGAAGGATGGAAGGCTGAGTCAGCCTTGAGCCGGCTACCTGCTTTTAGTTCTCATTTCATTTAAGTTGGAGGATACTGACTTGCTCAAGATAAAGGCAGTATTGTCCCTGGAACACTGTGTTATGGTTTTAAGTAGCTCAGAAATAAATTTTTGCTTGGGATAAATTAGCAGTAGCTCAGATTGCAGTTGAACATACTGTTGCCAACCTTGAAAAGCTGGCTAGGTTGCAAGACAGAATCTGAACCCATACTTGAAACCTTCTGTGTCTATTTGGCCTAAAGTGAAATATGGACCAAAAGTCATCCATGCTGGGAAAAAGAATTGCGCCCTATGGACAAAATGGGCACAAGCTGTGATCCTCTGGGATGTTTCTGAATAAGTGGGCATTTGAACATAAGAGCATGCATTCACTACAGTCTGACCAGAGAAACAAAAATTGGGGCAATCACATAAGCAATAGATTTTGGCTCATAAAAGAGCCAGACAATATTATGGATATTAAGGCAAAACTAGGTGTGACAGAGAAGCTTTGCAGATGGATTTTCCAGTGTCCTTTCTCATTTTAAGAGCCAAAAGAAAGAGGAGTAAACCAAATTGGAAGTTAGGCATGTGATATCTATCCCCCCCCCTTCCTACCCTGCAAAGTTATTGCAGTTCAGTGGAGAATTATGATTGTATTAAAGAAAATAATGAAGTAGGAGAACTTACATGAAGCTGGTTGCTCCAACACAGGAGGCATTCAAGAGAAAATGGGACACCCATCTGTCAGATCTGCTTTGATTTAGATTCCTGCTCTGGGAGCTGGGGTTGGGCTTGATGGCTTACTAGGCCCCTTCCAACTCAAGTATTCTATGATTCTCTAACCTCCAGCATTGTAACTAATTAAAGCACCCACTTTGAAAAAGAAGTCAAGAAATCTTCCAAAAGGTAGCTAACTACGTAAGTTGTTTTTTAGCAGAAACATATATTGTTCAGAATAAGTTAAGTTATAATTTCAAAGATAAATATTCCCCTACATCTGAACTTACCTGATAGGGATTTCTTCTTATATGAAGCTGGTCGATCATAAAGTGATCTTTGGATGTCAGAATATTTTGATCTATCTTTCCTTTCTAGCATTGGCACATATTGAGTTGTCTCTGCTTGTTTCATGTCCATATATTCACCATTGTTTTCGAAGGATAGGATTACATAACTAGAATAAAAACACAACCACATGCACAGAATGGGATTTATAACTCTTCCACACCCTGTTCAACTCTCTACTTTTGTCGGTCACAGAATAGAGTACAAGATACAGTGCAAAACACTGGCTAAAATCCAGTAGAAAGATGCAGCTAGAGCAGTCCTATAGAGTACAAGATACAGTGCAAAACACTGTAGACAGTGGCAGCGAGAGCAGTCCCATTAAATCAATTGAACTTTCATAGCAGTTGATTCATGAAATCATCACTGATTCAATGGACTTTCTTATGACTTACTTGCTACTTGCTATTGGATTTCAGACTTTATTTCCAAAATGCTCAGAGTGTATTTAGAAAGAAATAAGGAGACTATCTTTTGGAAGAGAGGTAGCAAATGTCAACAGTTCCATTCACTGTGCTGAGATGGCATTGTCCTCCAGTAACAATGATGAACTCTCAGTCTTTCTGCCAACTTTGAAGATATTGTCCCAGTGATTGGGAGATGATTCAAAGTTGGGAGGAAGGTTATGGATCTTTTGGCAGCTTTATGACCAAAGTAAATGAGTGTCAAAACTGGCACATTAAAAAAAAAATCCTGACTGCAGGCAGTGGGACCCTAGCATTCACTCTCCTCACTGGCACTTTCCTTGGGAAAAACTAGGGAAGTGTTGGTGAGCATTGAGAGTGCCCTGCAGAATTGGTGCTCAATGAAAACATCTTACTGAGGCACCTTCAGAAAGAAGCATGCTCACCTTACTACTTATACTTGCTGGGACAGGGAGACTGCAATTTTTGCAAAGTATCTCACCATCCTCTCACAAAACCTAGCCATTAGCTTGGCATTTCTATAATGCTCATGCTTGCCATTGTTATGCAACCTGCCTTAGGCATATGGTAATGAATCTGCAAATTAACTATAGTTTTGTGTCACACTTTGAATGTGGACCAACTGATGAAGAAGAGCTTGCTCTCAACTAGGTAAGTATCAGGGAACAAGAACGGGAAGGGACAGCAAGTGTTCCAGCAGAAAACATAATGTTTGCTCTGCTTATTGGACTAGGGTTTGGAGCTTACTACTTTCTCAATCCTTATATAGCTTATTTACTAACTGTAGTTTGACTGGTTAGGCAGGAAGTGGTTGACAAGTCTTCTATGGTACCTGCTATGCCAATACATGCTTATACATGTAAGGATGAATCTGGTCTGTTTGCCTCACACATAAAGTAAGTGCACAACTAACAGCTACTGTAGGTCTTCAGTTGCTGTAACAGCCTAGATTCCTCCCACCTTCATGGCCAAAGTCAGATATGCACATTGGCAAATCTAATATTGAATCAAGCGTAAGTCTTGCACTTCCTTCCTGCCCTTTTTAAAATTTATTTTTATAGCGCCATATGAATTTTCACAGAGTTATCAATTGCTACTACTCCATGTGAATTTAAAAAGTCAGCTTAAGAAAAATGAAAACTCTGCCAGGAGATTAGGGACAGCCAATCAGCAACATTGCCAGCTGGGTTCTGGTGCAAACACACAGAATCATGTCCCTACCTTGCCCTCCAAGATACATCTCAGAAAAAGAGAAGTTACCCAGTGAGCTGAAGGACTGCAGTGATGGAATTTCCTGATAAGACCACACTAAAATGTTGCATATGTGTTGCACAGAGTGCAATTCTCTGTACAATATTATTACTTGTTTTTTGTAGAGTTTTGGTACCTTGCCTTACTCATGCAAATGGTTAGAGTTACCTAGGCCAACATGGCAGTATTAAACTCTTCAGTTGCACTTACAGTACAATCCTAAGCAGGTCTTTCCAGAAGTAAGTCTCACTGATTTCAGCTGAACTCATTTTTATCCCATTAAGTATGCATATGACCACAGTTTTAATGACCTTAGAAATTAAATACTACAGTACCTCCGAGTACTTTCATCGGCTGAGTTCATCCCAAAGATGTCCAGATCCTTCTTGGTCTTCTCAGGATATCGGTTCAGAAAGTTGTCCCTATTTTTATGTAGGTAGTTCACCAAGTCTCCATAAAAGCAGTATTCTGTTATGATGTATATTGGACCTGATCACGGTATGAAAGAAAGCAAAAAAATATTTTTTTAAAAAAGCTTCTTGCTAGAATCATCTTCAGAGAATGGTGAGAAAAGACCTAAGATTAACAAGAAAGTTGCTGCCTTCACAGTTTTGGCTCTCTGTCTGTGCACAAATAATAATAGTGACAACTCAATGAATATCAATCTGGCTGCTGTAATGAACAAAAATTGGGGGGGGGGGACACCTAGAGAGGGGTTTGGTGTGAAGAGCTCAGCTCTGATAATGAGAACAAATCTCTGAACTATCTACCCTACTATGCAACTGTTTGGCTCTCATAACAATGATCCAGGGCTTCCATTATGACATCCCACACATCAACATATAAAAAGAAATCCCGAAGCCTTCACAAATATGAATTGTGACTTGCCAAATATTTGATAGCCATCCTGATGGGCATCCATCCATGGCTAACCACAGTCTGTAGGGTCAAAAAAGGTCTGAAAGCCTTATTAGATCCAATGGTGGCTATGGCAGGCAGACATTTATATTACTTAGATAAATCATTTGTAGAATTATGATGTAGGAATATCAAGAGCCTCCTAGTCAAACAGCTACCTTTTGACACAACTGATTATGAACTGTCTACCTACCTGTGGGGCCAAAACAGCAGGACATCAAGTACCCATCGGTTTACAGTTTTACAACAGTGACACTGCTATAAGGCAAACCTACCTGATTTTGTACAGGCTCCTAACAGGTTAACTATGTTCAAGTGAGGTCCAAGATGGGTCATTATCTTTAATTCAGACATGAGAGCCTGTTTTTCACTGGATCGTGCAGTGGCTATCGGGAAAATAAGTGGGACAGCTAATTAGAATTATATGCATATTTTAACAATAATAGCATTGAACAGAGATAGAGATCTTGCTGGCCCATGACCTTCTTGTGAATGGCCTCCAGTGTTTGTATGGGTCTGGAGAACTTTGTGGGGCAGAGATTTTTTAAGGAGAAAAACAATTTTAAAAAGAAATAGATTTTTATCAAATATATGTCTTATATAACAAAAAGTAATGGTGCATTTGTACAGTAGAGATTCATTTGACATTTTAACTGTGTTGGTTTTTGAATCAGACTATATAAACATCAATCTAATAGAAGATAAGCCAGTTCAAACATAATTGTGATTAATCTACTTTGACACAGTTGGTACCATATACATTTTGTAGGAGGAGTTGCAGATTTCCCAGTTCTGCTGCTATTTGAGTCAAGCCTTTTAAATGAAAAGCTTGTGATGTCTTTAAAAGCTCTGAGGGATTTGAAACACAAAAATCAGATTAGGTCAAAAAGTACTTTTATTTATTTATGAATTACGGGCATTCTAAAACTGACCTCTTCGTGAGGATTATATTGTATCTGCTCTGAAGGTGGCATCCTTAGATCCTTCTAAGTGTTGTGTACAAGGTGAAACAACTGCTTCCATCAGCAGATGTGAGGGGCAGGGCAACCCTTGCTTCTGCAGCTCCCAGTACACTTCCAGAATCATCTTAGAGGACTGGGAAATTGTTTATACCACCAAGTAAACTTGAAAACTTTCAGGCTTTTACAGAAGTCTGGATGGCCTTGATTAAGGTATTACCCACTTATAGATCATTGTCTTCTAATGTTCCCAAATGGTTCTTTTTTTATTATGTTATTTTCTGAGTAAGGAAGGCTAAGAGGTTCGATCATGATTAATTCTGATTCCCAGGCTAATGCACAGAATGTATATAATCCAATATGCTTCAGATTTCACATTTCCCTTAATTCAACAATGTAAATCCCAATGCAAAAATTTGTGCATTAAAAATGCATGTTTTAGGAGAGGAGACATTTATAAGTAAGCACATTTATATGAAATACATTTGGCAAAGCATTATTTGGTAGGAAGATACTTCAAAAGTTAAGTGTGTGCACACGTACACGCGTGCATGTATGTGAATTCAAATTGCTAATGAAGAAGAAGTGTGCATGAATACATAAAATACACATGATCTGAAAATCAGGGAATTGGTGTTACATGGCTTGAAGGTTTCAGGTTTGGTTTTCTGGGTTTTTTTTGGGGGGGGTGTCCGTTTTTGGCATTGTCCTTGTCTTCTGTAGGTTCTTCCTTCCTAGTTGCATTTCATGGCCAATGTGAGTACAGTGGTGCCTCGCATTACGACGTTAATTCGTTCCTGCGAAATCGCTGTAGAACGAAAACGTCATAATTTTTAAAAGCCCATAGAAACGCATTAAAACCGGATTAATGTGTTCCTAGGGGCTTCAAACTCACCATCCAGCGAAGATCCTCCATAGCGCAGCCATTTTCGCTGCCTGTGCAGCGAGGAATCCGTGGGAAAACACAGCAGGCAGCCATTTTGTTTACCCAGTGGCCATTTTGAAACCGCTGATCAGCTGTTAAAAAATCACCGCTTTGCGATGAACGGTTCCCGAAGCAGGGAGCCGATCATCGCAAAGTGAAATTCCCCCATAGGGAACATTGTTTTGTGATCGCTTTTGTGCGATTTCATCGTCAAATGGAGCGCCCGTCCTGCGGGGCACCACTGTACCTTGATTTAAAAAATGGACCAGCGAGGGTATCCATCTATTTATATGGTGTGGTTTGTCTGTAATGTCCATATGCAAAACAATAAATACCCATGGCCTAATCTTTGGCACAGGAGATAACCAGCAGCAAATGTGGATGTGAAATAATTGTGTAGCATCCTGAGAGGAGTAAGTAGTTGTCTCAAGAAGGGGATACACTGTGCTCAAAGGCTCTGTTTCTAATTACCACCTTGGTGTCAATTAGCGAATGTCTTGTGTCATGGACATACATCTGATGTCTTCTGAAGAAACAAATGACTACTCAGCAAGTCTCTGTTATGAATGTATTCAGAGTACAGACAATGTGGCAGATGCTTTAGTGGAGTGGCTCACTGAGAGGAGTCCTAAGCCAGAACAATTAAAGCCTTAATCCAGTGGGCTTTCACAGGGTTGGACAGTTCCTTCCCCTTCTGAAATGATTCAAATATGCCATCTGTTTCATATGCTTTCAGTGCAACTCTGCCCTCTAGCTTCCATTCCAAAAGTTAACTATCCTGTTTCCCCGAAAATAAGACCTAACCTGAAAATAAGCCCTAGTATGACTTGTTCATGATGCTTGTAATATAAGCCCTACCCCAAAAATAAGCCCCGGTTAAGTGAAACCCCAGCCTCCACCATTGTGCAGCATTGTGCAGCAACTAGAAGAAGATGACATGACTGTAAAATAAAACATCACCTCAAAATAATCCCTAATGCATTTTTGGAGCAAAATTTAATATAAGACCCTGTCTTATTTTGGGGAAAACACGGTAGGTATGGGACAAAATGGAAGAAGAAACTCCTGAGACCCATGAAATAGTGAACTGACCTTCAGAATGAAACAAGGCTTGGTTCTGAGAACAATTCTCCAGACAGTTTCTACTATGAGGGAAGGATAGTTATATTGTCAGAAGGCGTTGAAAAAAGAACAACTTTCTATGGCGCTCTGGTTTATGGGAAGAGGTGGGAAGAGGTGTGGTTCTCAAGAGAAGGTGAGTTTCAAACAGTAAAGACATAACCCTGGAGGTGACAAGGCCTTGGATAGAGAAAAGTTACAATGTCTGATCCATTTGATGATTTAATGTTTTGAAATGTTCTGATGATCAGACCCCTCTTCCTCAGAAGATGGGAATGGGGGAATGCAGTGTCTCCGATTCTAGTAGTCTTGTAGTCAAAGGCTAGGTCTTTTTGGTCTTGAGAATTTTCCTTTCATTTTTCAAGGACTTAAGGGTGGAGGGGAATCAGATTTATTCTTCAGATGAATTAAGGTGAGCAGGTATGAGGTGTTCATACTGGAGAAAGATTTTGAACTCTCCCCTTCCTTTGCTATCTTCAGGACGAAGAGAAGAAGAAGAAGCACAACCTTATTGTTTGAGAGCACTTTTGTTGTTGTTTATTTCACCAGACCCTCAGAAATAGCTGCTACTATTGTTTGATCTTCTAAAGTTCTAAGCCTTTTGGAAGAAGCATGTAGGGCGGTGTGTGGCTGAAAAGAGTCCCTGGACATGGAACTTTCACTTCAACCTAAGAGGGCTGATGAAATAAAGCTGTATCAGTGTTCTCAGAAATTTCTTCTGGGGGAAAGAAAACTTTAGGCTCATTTAAATTTCCTTTTGTGATCTCTGATGGCTGTTGTAATCATTTCTCTTTCTCTCTTGTTCCACCACTACCACCAAATATAGAATTCAGTCAGGCTGCAATTTCATAATAGCTGAAAAGTAGTGGGATCTGCTAATCTGGTGCATGGAGAATCAGAATCGCCCTTGCTGGAGCCTCTAAAATTCTCCCACTCAAGCCTAACCAATGTCCCACTTGTTCCCTTTCCCAACTGGGAGAGTACATGTGAATCTGAAAGCTCTTAGACAAGCTGGCAAGCCCTATCAGAATCCACAGCTGGACTTTATCTAGCACCTACAAGTCCTGCTGACATTGGTCTACTCCTCCAGCCTTTTCTCTGCACAGGGATGGGACAGAGGAGCAAAGCCTAGCTCCTGGCCTCGTGCTTGATGGAAAGAACAACTATACCAGGGACCTAATGATGTGAGGAAGTATGGCCGTGCCATGAAACCATATGTCTCCCCACCCCACCATGATTCTTTATCTCTCATTAAGAAGGCTCATTTCTCTGTTAGCAAGTCTTTGGTGAGGGATGACTCACAAAGAAGATTCTTCTCAGGATGAAACAAGTGGCTGCAGTTTTCTTCCACAAATTCTAATACACTTAATTTTGTTATAAATAAGTAGGCTTCCTTCTCCAGCTCCCTGCTGTATCCATCAGACCAAAGAGACAGGAGGAGATGGTGGTCTAAGACAATGGGGAATCTGAGGCAAAAAGGATTTCCACTGTCCAGGTAAAGAGCAAGCAGCAAAAACAGATGTTTGTGAAAGATAAAAGATGATGCAGGCAAAAAAGGACTAAGAAGCAGTAGAAAAGAGAAGAGGAAAACATGTCTTCTGCACATGAGCAAAGGCAGGAATGAACTGAGGACAGGTGGTGACCTACATGGGATAGACAGTAGAGGGGGAAAATGTAGGGGAGAAGTTAGTGGTCCCTGCATTTCAAGCCCTGGGAAGAATCCACCCACTGGTAGGTAACAAATGTCACTAGGAAAGAAGAAAGCTGAGATAGCTTATCCTCATCTGTAAGAAACTCCTCTTGAAACCAGTAGCATTTACTGCCAAACGGATATGATAAAAACTGAAGCACCCACTTTGCTTTGAAACCAGTAGTAATTGTTTAATTAATAAACTGATCAAAGTATTACAATATATAGGGTATATCTGGAGAAATTTAAAAGGAAACATAGTTTCTTGTGATAGTACTTGTTTTACATCTTGTTGGAATCAAATATCAAGAATTAAAATCCTGCCATATGGGAAATACACCACGCCAAATCAATTTGGCTTACAACTTCTATTTCAGTCATTCTAATGGTTTGACATTAACCAGAGCGATGATGACGTGGATTACTTGTAAGCTGAAAAACACTTACGCTTCAACATTTTCACAGCCACTTTCATCACTGGCTGTGACCGGCTTAATCCATAGGCAGTTCCTTCAACTACTTTCCCAAATGCTCCGGAGCCAAGGATTCGACCTGTAGACAATAGAGCGCTGTTATTTATCCAGAAGTAGCCTCATATCTTATCTCACCAATCTAATTTGTCTAATCCAAATTAACTATCCCACTGTCCACCACAAGCAAATTGCTCCAGTCAAGTATATATGGGTTGCCTGCTCATGTAGGAAATTCGTGCACATTGCACATATCAGAGTGTGATGAGACTATTCACCTGCAGTCCACAAATTCTTTATTTCAGGACAAACTCCATGATATCCTACTGATACTAGCCAAGTTCTCTACTCTAAGCAACAGCTTCAGCGAACCAAATGCTGTTGGTTGTAATTCTTCTTGCCAATCCTGCGTTAAAATAGTTTGCTTAGTTTGGGCTGCATTTGGTTTGAGGCTGCTCTGGCCAGAGTACTGTGGCATATATGTCGGAGATGTGGAAAGGCTTTGGAATTGTGGGAAGTCATCTGGTTGGCCAAAGATTTCCCAACTCAGTTTTAGAATACATAACATTCTTAGTCCTTTTCAAGTGCCCTGAGTGTGTACAATAAATGTCCAGTGGCAGCAACATGGAGGCAAGCTTTCCCATCCCAGAGCCAAGTGTATCCATTTGTGTACTCTTTGAACACCTGGGCAAGAGAGGCCTTCTGGTACTTGCTGTGAGTAATACAGCTAAAAAGAAGATTCAGCAGAACCCCTTTGATAAAGGCCATATTCTGACAGTAAGACTCCATTCTTTTTAATTGCATTTTTCTTTCTTCCTTTCCTTTCCTTTTTTGTTTGCAAATGGAAGAACTAGGAATCATCAGCATCTTCTCTTGAAGGAAATTTGTCGTAATGAATGGGAATGAGGTTCCCCCCCCGAAATTCAGTATACAAAGGATTTTCATATATAAGAACTGATGTTAATGTACTTCCTCCATGTTGACAGAACATAAAATAGGACTTGTACACACTGTTCTACCCACAAGTCAAAGTTTCCTTTGGAGATTAAAAAAAAAACTAAATGGGATGTTGTCATGTTCTGTCTACAGGGGCCACTAGTGAGAAGGTTTGCAATATGTGCAGAACAATGCCATTACAGCACACTGACAACACCTCCGAGAATGAATTGGCTGAAATCATAGCAGTGAAACCATAAAATTTAACTGATTCACAATGGTTTATAATTATAGTGAAGATCTGCTGTAGCTGTTTTAAAAGACGGGACTAGACTTAATGCTAGTCTTATATCTGGAAAACCAATGCTCCCTCAGGTTGCAGAAAGCCTAATTGTAAAAGCATGCTATTTCGCTACATGTTATCCATTTAGTCATTCATTTATTTCACTTTGTTTCCACCATATGAGTGTGCAAAACTGCATCTTTGTTCTGTATCTTAAAGAAAAATAACAGAGTGTTGCAAGGCATCAGTGGATCTATATCTGCAGCCCACCTCTTTGTATGCAATTTTCGTGTTTAAACAACAAAAATTATTCCTATCATGCCCAGAGAATAGCAATGTCTTCCACAGAATTTGTTGGAAAGACAATACAATAAAATGAAGATGATTTCTCCTTATCTCCACCCCCAACACACAGGCTGCTTGAGCAGTCTACTCCATTGTAGTGTAAAGCATCTTCTCCTGGTGGACAGCTGATTCCAACCCACAATTTCCATCTGACAGCAGCAGAAAGAAACAGAGGCAACAGAGCAGGGAGAACTGAACAATGGGATAGGGGGATCTTTGCTAGCACATCTGTAATTTATTGCTGAAATGTAAACTCAAGCTTCCATTGTAAGTTTCATTATACTGTAGGTTTGTGACATTAAGGTGTTACACGAGGTTAACACTATTGGAGTTAAAACACTGTAAGAACAGATTTTCTTTAAATGCCTGTTCCAGTCTAGATATCCTAGCTTTCAGTGGTAATGGCAGGTCTCTAGAACTCATTAGCTGAAATCCTGTGGCATCATAGCACAAATAGTGTACCTTTTAGAGGCAAATTGTTATAAGTTAAAATATAACCTGTTGCATGCCAAGTCATTTGACTCAGTATGCAACAGATAGTGTCTACGGAGATTTCTTAACTTACTGCAAATTGCTTCCAAAATTTTTGTCATTTTCATAACTGCACAAAAAGATTTCAGCCACTAGTACAGAATTCCTTTTTAAAATATGCTGTCACATTTTGCTGAAAAGAAACATAGTGATTCACTGAGATTTTGTCAGGTTGCATAGGTTGCAATCCTTCCTAATGATGCCTCTTGTTGTACTTCTAGCATTTATACATCTATACTGGTTCATTTGTGCAATCAGATCGGGTTACGAATTTTGCTTAAAGACCTCTTCATTTCCTATCTCCACAGCATAATCAAGAACTACAATACCTATATCATCAGTCAAACTTTGCAACACAACCTTCACAATCTGTGTGACTATTAAGGGTGGATCCCAGGAGAAGCCTGCCCCAACATTTCTCCTAGTAAAATGCACTGTGGCTTTAATGAACTCCTCGGGACCTATCTGACAGTTCAAAGGTTTTCTTTGGAGAAGTAACCACAATGAAATAATTCTTCCATTAAAGCTTCCATTGACTTTTATGCAAACACAGTCAGGACCTTTACTGGTAAGCCACTAGGAAGTTTGCAGTTTATTTGCCAAATAAAACTTTGATCTGGCTTCTTGATAATTCCTGATAGAATTAGAGCAACATTTCAACCCCACACCACCATGTTGAGCTTTATAACAAAGTCTGAAATCCTTTTTGTGATGGAAAATCTGTGGACCACATGGCAGGATGCAGCCTCTTGTAAATCTGTACTGGCCTGACTCAATTTAATTATCATCCAGTACCCATTCCACACATTGATAGGGATGTATGTGTGCAACATGAGAAATACCTCCTCTTCTGCCCACAGCTCTGCTAGATATGTGCACAGCAAAATGGGAGAACTTCCTGTTGGGGATTTGTCATTGCTTCCTGTGTTCAATCTTCCCATGTTCACTCCTTTGGATAAAAGGCTTGTTTACTGGGTATTTGCAGCAGGAATGTGTGGAATCAAATGAGAGACTACAGCTGGCTTCCGCAGGCTGTAGGCAATTCATATGAAGGGTAGCCTCTACAGCTTCTGAGGCCTAAGCATTTGAAGCAGGCTCTAGGGTTAGACAGTTCTAGGGCCTACCTATAATTTAACTATGTTTATTTGAAATGTTAACAAGAAGAAAAAGGGAAATCCCCAGATCATTATCCAGATGTGAGTTACAATTGGCCTTTCCCTCCACCCTTCCAGACTGAAATCTGGGTCAGGCACTGCTTCCTTGTCCCAAAATGCATGGTGCAATTTGATACCATAGATTTATTTGATTGAGGAGCAGAAGGAGATGTTGCAGGTAATCTGTCATTTGAAGAGGGAATTCCTTAAATCTGAAAGTATCTGAGTGCACAGCATGAACTTCGCTCACCTGACTTAATGTACAAATTAGGTTGCCTTATTTTGCGATTGGTTTTCATGATTTAAGCATGAGCTTCCTTTGAAGTCTGATTTCTCAAACATGAAAGTCTGCCTAAATCATGTCCTTCCAACACTACCATGCTTTCAACTCTATTCATAACCTATGTATAATGTCATTTTTTGCTTCTGTCTGTAATCTGCATTTTGAGGGTTGGTCTGAAGTGCAGGCATCATGCCCATACCATCTGCCCTGGGCCTGGGTATGGTTGTTCTTTCCCAATCTTCTTGATCCTGTTTTCTACACCATTTAGTGCAATGAAGATTTCTGCATAACTCAAAAGCTTGCACACTCTTTGTACCATTTTAGTTGATCCCAATAAAGGTGTAGCATTTTATAAGATTTTGGGAGTGTCCTAATAAAGATGCCCAAATATAAATTTTGCATAATTATCAAAGAGTTTCTTCTCTAAATAAGATAAAACTATTTGGACTTGTGGACAACTATCTTACATTGGTTCCTCAGAAAAGAAAAATCTAAACAGTGGGCCAAATGTTGCTGAGTTATGGGAGCTGTAATACAAAACTTTGGGGGCGGGGTGGACAAAGATTTAGAACAATGATCCAATAACTGGCAAGCAGGAACTAACATTTTGGTCCATCAAGGTCTGAGGAGAGATTGCCAAAAAGGTGAGGCCTCTTCTTCTTAACATGACTACACAGCCCAACTACTGCTAAATGATTTCTAAATAATGAATACCTACAACAGTACAGCGGTGCCTCGCTTAACGGGCACCCCGTTTAATGACGAATCTGCATTGCAATGTTTTTAATGGGCAAATATTGCTGTTTCGCTTACCGATTTTCACATAGCGATGATTTTCCAACAGCTGATTGGCAGTTCCAAAATGGCCACCAGGTAAATAAAATGGCCGCCCGCTGTGTTTTTGCCTGGATTCCTCACTTACCGGGCAGCGAAAATGGTGGCCGTATGGAGGATTTTTGCATTAAGGTGAGTTTTTTGCCCATAGGAACACATTAAACGGGTTTTAATGCATTCCAATGGGCTTTTTTAGTTCGCATAGTGACGAATCCGCATAGCGACAATTTTTGCTGCACGGATTATCGTCGCTATGCGGGGCACCACTGTACTGATACTCCACATGCAATGAATGAGAGGGCTGCCTCTGCTATAGCAGCCACCACCAGAGCAACAGCCATTGTTGTGATTCTTACCCAGCACTAATCCATCTCTGGGAAATTCCCATCTTGAATCATAGGGCAGCTGCATGGGGTCCACATAGATATATTCATGGCCATCAGGACTGATGGACTCAATGACTCTCCATCTGATTTCATATCTTGGTTTCTGCAGAGCACAAAAATGGAATACAGAATGTTAACTGCATCCCTACAAAGGGAGCAAATGCAGACTTTACAAAAGCAGTGCGTTCCTCAATTACCTGTTTCCATATGATTACCAGGACAATCAGCGAAATTATTACAATCACTAGCAACACTAGGATTGCAGCAGCAACAGTCAGTTCAGATCTTAAAGCTGTCAGAGAAAGGAAATAGGTATGATTTTTTTCACTTTCAGTAAATGAAGGTGGGTAAACACAATCTAGTGTTTCAAATAAAACAGGAAATTTCCTATTTACTTAATTAAAAATATATATTGTATCATGTTCTACTGTAAGCTTCCAGGAACACTAACAATAATGTAAGGCAGATAGTGGATAAATCCCCCTTCAGAAATTAAAGGAAATATTATTTAGAGGATAATCCTAGAATGTGGATCTCTATAAAAAGAAACAGTTGATCCAAAATGGAAAACTTCACAGAATTGTGTGTGTGTCTGTCTAACTCACTTATATGGTTTCTATCTTCTATTTTATCTCTTTCGTCCTCATTAAAAATAAAAAACACAGGGTCCGGGTTCAGACAGAGTTAAGCACTTGGTCTTATAGTGCAATTTTATTCAAATCTCCTCCGGAATGCACCTGTCTGCACAGGATTGTAGTCTTTGCCCATTGGTTCTAGTGGAAGTGCTGTTACTGAGGAAAACCAGGCAGGGGTTCTTTCAGGGCACATATTACCCATTTATATATTTAATAAAATATAATGCTTTGTTTCAATTCTAGCAGATGTCCCTTCCTGATCTTTCCAAATCTCTGAGCAACTAACCATTTCCACTGATCAACACCATGGTTGAAATCTTGTTGCTTAGCACAGGGTTGCAACTAGAGTAGGTCCCTTGAATCAGTGAGAATTTGGTGAGTCTTCTGTAAATTCTATTGATCCAATGGGTCTACTCTAATTTAGTTTATTACCTTAAGCAACTGGAGTTCAGGCCATGTGTTCCCCACCACCTCCCATCCGTTCCATTTTCCTCCTATACATATCTATTAGTCCATCTCAATCTGACTTCATTGCCCTTGTTTCCAATATGCATTTCCACATGGCTTTTTTGGAGGAAAAGGATGGGAAAAGGGACAAGGAAATGGAGTTATAGAGGAGTTTGATATTTGCTTATTGTGAAAAAAAAAAGTAACGTTGCCTGTAGCAGGCTGTAAGAACTGTCCTCGTAAATTTAGTTTCTCTTCTGCTAAATGATAGGAGCATGGTCTCCTGTTCTCGCCCTATGCTAGCTTGCTGGTACTAAAGGGAAAATGCCAGCTACACTAAAGAAAGCAAATTGATTGAGATGGTCTGACAAAAAATGGGAGCATGGATGTATCATCAGGGGATAGGAAGAGCTCTGAGAAAGCCTGAAGTTTATAAGCTCTTGGATTTCTTTTCATATCCATCTTCAAAACCATGCTGGCATGGAAACAGCTGAATCATAACCTGGCAAGCAGACATTGATAACTACAGGGATGCCTGGGATCTCCCTTCCTAAAGGAGAACAAATGGGTACATGGGCATTTTCATTACTATGCTGTTTTCTGTCTTTTCAGTACTGAAGACCCATATGATACCTATACTTTATCTGTGTGTATTCTTTTGTTTTTAAATCCCTGTAGGCTGAACTACAGCTATAGTTATAGAGGGGCATAGATCTAAGTGAAGAAAAGATGCTCTCAATATCCCATTTCCCCAAAAGGTAGCTGTGTTAATCTGCAGCAGAAAAAACACCAAAGAGTCCTATGGCACCTTGAGCACATAGCCTGACTCTAGCAGACACAATTTAGACCTACTAGAGAAAGGAAGGGATGTTATTTATTGCTTTCTGGGACCTCAGGTGTGGTAACATTCATAGTATTTATAAAGAATGTCAGTGTTTTAGGCTCCATACAAAAGCAGTGATGTCCATTCTAACCTTTATAAATACTGTACATATCGAAGAGCAGCATATATTATAACAACCTGTTGCTATTTTTTTTAAAAAAGCATTAAATATTTCCTGAAAGGTTAATATTGCATTTGCACTGCACAGAATGTTTCACATTGGACTGGATATCTTTTAAGGAGGGGGAATCCCAACCAACTGAGCTAATCATGCAACAAGTTGACTCACTTGGAGCCACAAGCTTCAGTTCCCGTGTAACGGTCCCCAGGTCATTCCTCGCCATGCATCGGACAGCCAGTGTTTCTTCCACCTTCTGGAAAGTCACTTGGCTTTCAACCATGTTTCTCTCATCCAGGCGAGTCTCCATGGTAATATCAGAGACATTGCTTGTCAGGAGAGTCCATGAGGAGTCATTGCTGCATCTGAAGATGTGCAAACACAAATCACACAAAAGATTTATCTTTTGCTGAAAAATGTGCATGGAGTAAACAATTTTAGGTACATAGGGGCATGTTGCCTAAATAATATCAAGCCTGTCCTTGAAGCCCCCATGAGCCTTTCATCTTTATTATGAAAAATCTGTTAGCTCATTATTGTTTCACTATATATTTATATATATAATGTATTTGCACACAATATTCATCTGCTTGCCTCTAAGAGGATTATATCAACAGGGTACTGGTTTAGCTCAATTAAATCAAGAGGCATTTTATTCACTGAACTCAGTTCCTCCCCACCTCTGCATCTCCAGACATTTAAACCTATGTATATTACAAAGGATTTACAAGTGATTATAAGTAATGATGATAATGATGATTTACAAGTGTATAAACTTATAATCACATTATCGGACTGATGCTAATGAGAGACAACCAGAGTGGACTATTCTTACTTTTTAATGTCCTTGCAAACCAGCCACTCGACATCAGGCAGGGGTGTCCCTTCTGCCAAACATCTTACTCTCTGCCCAGCTGAGCCATGATGATTATCTAGCAGATCTCAAATTAAAGCTGGAACTAAAAAAGAAAAATAAATAGAAAGAATACATCAGAGACCTTGCATAGTAAAGTATTAAGCAAATCTCAGCATTCCTACCTGCCTAGCAGATTCATTCTAGGTCCAGAGTTTCTGGAATCCTTTGTTTATTTTCCTCAAAATAGAAAGAATACATCAGAGACCTTGCATAGTAAAGTATTAAACAAATCTCAGCATTCCTACCTGCCTAGCAGATTCATTCTAGGTCCAGAGTTTCTGGAATCCTTTGTTTATTTTCCTCAACACATGTCTATTCACTGGGAGGTGGGAAATCCATTTAATACAGTGGGCCTCACTTTGACTAAATATCCTTAGGATGAGACTTCGAGCTGTAGCTTGATGAACACTTGCCCTAAAGTGTGAATTGTCTTTGGTGTGACTTGGATCTACACAGAAGCCTGTACTGCACTTGCCCTAAAGTGTGAATTGTCTTTGGAGTGACTTGGATCTACACACAAGCCTATACTGTTGGTCTACAACGCTTTGCATGCATCCTGAAGGAAACATCACACCAAACTCGCATTTGGCTGCTCCCTTACCCCTGGGGCTGGGCTGCTCCCTGATCATATTTTCTGACAAACAAAGGTTAAGAACCACTGGTCTACAACACTTTGCATGCATCCTGAAGGAAACATCCCACCAAACTTGTATTTGGCTGCTCCCTTACCCCTGGGGCTAGGCTGCTCCCTGATCATATTTTCTGACAATTAATATTCCACTGGCTTCAGATGAGGAGCATGTGAGAGTATTTTGGCAAGGGCATATTGAGATATGAGGCATAAGAAGCTGGGGAGAGGAGGCAGCCCTGCAAGCCAGTTACACGTGCATGTTTTAGCTCTATGGCTACAAAAAACTCAATAAGGTACCTTTCTGAAACCACTTACAATATAATAAACAAAGGTTGTCCCTAATCATTAGAAGGAAATATTAAAGATAAAAGTATTGTTCATTCCCTATTACAATAGTACAGTACAACCAAATACTTGATAAGACTTCAAAGAAGCCAAGTTATGTTCTTAGTTCAAAGTCCCAATGCTCAAAAGTTTGTCTGCACTGAATGAACTGGCCCTTGTTAATCAACTAAATCCTTGATCAAGATGCTCTGACTGTTATTAATCCTACACACATTACAATAAACCTCATTGAACTCAGTGGTGCTTGCTTTTGAGTAGCTAATCCCTGCTCATCTAGATTGGGGATAGATAACTGAAGCCCTTCAGATTTTTTCATACTGCAACTCCTATTTCCTCCCAGCACTGGCTATACTGATCTAGATTTATGCTCTTACAGTTTGAGTGTCCGATACTGACACACAGTCAGTCTCTGTGATTCAGAGCATTTGTGACATGCTTATAAGAAGCTTGAGATTTCAAGTGAAGCAGTAAATCTGATTAGTGAATCTCAAATCAGTCAGTTTCATGCATTTTAATCAACTTATCAATTAATCACTTTTGGAAATGAGTAGATTTGGGAGGGGAGGCAGGTGTACAAGTGTGTCTTAAAGCAGACATTGTGAGGCATTCTTCTCACATCACTTAGAAGAGAGAACACCTCTCCTAAAATAATTGCTTGCCATCTTCACATAATATAAGTACTTCTTGATCAATTTCATATATTGATCAAGAAGAATAGCTAACCTAACTAACAGATCACTCATTGCAGCACCAGCTTCAATCCATAGCTTCTCCAGTTCAAAATAATATCACAGAGTTGGAGGGTTGGAAACCTGTTGTCTTCTCTGATGTCACTCAACATTAAGTAGCTTCTTCTTTCCTTCTAAAGTTCAGTTGGGCAAGGAGACTAGGCAGCTGTGCAGAAGGCACAGAGGAATAACACCGTTGATACTGGCCCTGGCAAGAATTCTCCCTTAGCAGTACTGAACTACAGGAAAAGGTGGATAAGAATTTGTTTAGTTGTCTTTTACCAAAAAAAAATTAAAAAAAATTCAATTTATTTCCAAATTCAGTAGAAAGAACTTGAAATTTTAATAATTTGAATGTGACCAAAAACAAAAATGACTACAAACAGAAGGTTTGGAGTGCTTAGTTTTTACTAATATAACTCTGAATCCCTGTGTATTCCACTATATTTGTATGGCTGGACGCAGGTAGGGTTGCCAGACATCAGCCGAAAGGAGGACATGTCCTCCTTTTTAGCCTAATCTCCTCCATCCGGCTGGCAAAGACAAAAATCTTTAAACTGTTAGACTTTTGTATATTTTATGTTATAATTTTGGATGGGAGGGGGAGAGGTAGAAGGAACCCCCGCCTTTTCCCACCCCTACCCGCCTGCTCCCTGTTACCTGCTGCTGGCGCTGGAGCACAGCCCTAGCCCCTCCCACCGCCACCGCAGCTGCTGTGTGATCCACCATGCCCACCCAGCCCATGTGGAGCCCAGAAAGGCAGCGCAAGCAGAGCACCGCCCACCAAGCCAGGCAGGAGTAAGCAGCACCCGAGCGCATTGATAGGAAGGCGAGTGCCTGGACTGTGTGTGTTCAAACTCCCTTTCAGGGACTCCAACTCCCACACTCCCCAGCCTTGAACTTAGGGGAAGAGAGGCTGTCTCATTCAGTTTTGCCCGGCGCTGCTTTCCTCCTGCCTGCGCCAGAGCCTTCTTCGGGCATCCAGATTAGCAAGGTTGCCTCTGAGCCTGTGCAGAGTGTGAGCGGCTGGGGGATCCCGCAGCCAGGCCAGGGTGGGTTTGGGTACAATTGGCTGTTTAAATAATGTTTTTTGATATTTTGAAAAAAAAAGCCTCCATTGAATTTATGTTTATGTTTTAACATGACTGTTTCTTGCTCAGTTCACTAAGAGACATTTATTGACAGCTATTGTAATAAAATTGTACTGATTGCGAGTTTAATCCAGAAAGATTCAAATGAAACATTCAATACGTCCTCCTCTGTCCTCTTTTTTGTTTTTCTATGTCCTCCTTTTGGTACCCATGTATCTGGCAACCCTAAACTCAGAGCATTGCTTCTTTTTCTTAACAGGTTCCTCATCTTAAACAGCTACATAACAGGCAGATTCAACAGGCCTATTAAATGGCTGAGAGTTTTGATTTGCTTTTTATAAAGGCCTACAACATTTGCAGATTTCTATACAGATTTGACAGAAAGAACTTGAGTTTTAAGAGAGAGACAAATAAAGAAAGAAACCTGGGTGTTGGAGAAAGCAAATCATGCATTTACCCATCCATAACAAAGACCTATTCAAAACTGAGAACTGGGCTGTTTATGACTTTGAGGCTCACCCAATAAGCCCATATCACAGTCAAAGTGCCCCTGTGATGGGTTTTCTGGCAGGGCAGTTCTTTATCCATTTGGCCCAGTACTATCTGCTTTAACTGTCAATGGTCTTCCATGGTCTTGGGCAGGGCCATATTAACTCATGGCTGGACCCATAAGTTTTGAGGTATTTTCGCCCCCCCTTCAGCACTTCAATCTTTAACCCCACTACAGGAAAAAATAGTGATGGGCCCCTAAACTTCAGCCTTATGAATAATATGGCCTTGATCAAAGATTTTCTCCTCACCTGCTCCTTTTAAATAGATATACACTAGTAGGGATTGGATTTAGGGCCTTCTGTAGACGAAGCATGTGCTCTGCTACTGAGCTACAATTGTTAAGGTCAAAGGTGGGCCCAAAGGATGGTGGCACTATTACATTATCGATTGCTGCAGTAGTTGTGTGGCTTTTATGCTTTTATTTTTATGATGTATGCTTTAAAAAAAGACTAACATAGCTACACATTGCTGAAAATAGCAATAAGAAAATGGCCATTTTATTTCCGGAACTACCGTATACATACCTGAGTGAAAGACTGCTTGAGAATTGTATGTAAGCGGTGAAGAGGAAAAGCAATGTGCAAGCACAAGGAATACAACAGAACAATAATAGCAGCAATGAAGAGAGAAGGGCTGACATCTCTCTAAACAGTTTCCAAAACTCCTCTTTAAAAATGCCAGTGAATAATAGTCACCAAGATAAGTTATCTGCTTTCATTTTGCACTATAATTCGTTATCCCTTTAATATACCCCTTCCTGTCTGTAGATTAAATCCATGTGCAAGGAGCCATTTCTGACTATCAGCCAGGCACAACAGATGTTTGAGTATGTCAGCATCTGGGGCTAAAATAATGTCCAAAGTAAGTCATGTAGAATAGCAGGCAAGTAAGTGTGTTCCTAGGTAATTTGCCATTTTATTGGCTCTGATTTTCAGACATATCACTCACACCGTATGCTATTTCTTGAGAGAATACAAATTGTGAATCTGCTAATGATAAGCAAACTTTATTTCTAGAGGTCAGGACCTAATGTACTTATTGTTATTTTTAAAAGCCAACGATATGGCTACAGCCATGGAAGAATGAGTCTTTTAGACTGTAAATCATTTCAGCTTGGTCCACTATGCAAGCAGTAGACAAAACTGAATAGTTGTACTTGAGCTGTGTAATCATAATGTCTCTTAGAGAAGAAAGACCTGGATTCAAATTCCTCCTCAGCCATAACGCATATATGATTTGTCTCGATTTCATTCACACAATGTGAGACAAATGGAGCGATCACTAGGCCTACCTAGTGGCCTACACAGCTGAACAGGGATTTGAACCTAAATCTCTATAGTCTAAATTTAAACATTTTTTTAACTTTCTGTCTGTGGTCCCTTAGAAATTCATATTTGCTTGCTGGTCTATTCATCTTGATATAATAAATTGATATCGGTCTCCAAAATGTCATTTCCCCTTTCATCTCACCACTGTCATTTGATACTGATTTTAGCCTTATCACAGATTTACCTTGTATGAGCAAAGAGAAAGTATATCTTTGGATTTCATCTTCATTCTGTGCTACAAGAGTATAGTATCCAGTATCTTCTTCCTTGGCACGAATTAATTTAAATATACTCTGATACCTATACAGAAACAAAAGTACACGGTTGTAATTTTTGCAAAATTATGATTGTAAGCAGTAAGAATAACTTTACTGGAAACCAAGACTGACTGTAAAGAAATGCTACAATGTTGAAGCAACTCTTCTTCCTGATTGAAAAGACATTAATAAGGAAGTAAATCCTATTTATAGGAAATGACGTATAGATTATTATGCTTGGGTTGATACCTCAACACACTTAATACCAACTAGAATCAATGAAACGTAAATACTCTAATCCCATTCCTTCCAATGAAATTTAAATTAATGTATTCTCGGAGGCTTTCATGGGCGGGATCCAATGGTGTTTGTGGGTTTTTCGGGCTGTTTAGCCAAGTTCTGGAGGCTTTTCTTCCTAACATTTTGCCAGTTTCTGTGGCTGGCATCTTCAGAGGACAGGAGCAAGAACTCTGTGTTCTGGTGCAGTATTCTGTATTCTGTGATCTGTGCTCTGGTTTAGTGTGTGGGATTGTTGAGTACTGTGTTTGTAGCTGTGGAATCAGGCTTTTGTTCTTTTCAGGAGATTAGTTATTTCCTGTGATCAGGGTGTTTTTTTTTTAATGGGTGTTTTGTTGAGATGCAGAATCAGCCTTTTCATTGCTACAGCGAAAAAGTTATCAGGAGACTGAGGTGAAGAAACAGTGAAGGCCAGAAGAGAAAATTCAGGTTGCAAGAAAAAAAGCATTTTTGATAGCTTTGGAATTAAAGATAGTTCAATATTTAGTAAAGACAAAATGGGAATCTGATTTTTGCTGGGATGTTTGCTAATATAGAAGAGTAGTACCAAACAACTAAGAGCACTACCAAGTAGTTCAGTTCAGTTAAAGGTATATGCTGATAAATGGTATTAAAGACATGAGAAAATTAAAAAGTATGAAATTATTCAAGATAAAGGAAATTAAAATGAAAGGAATAGGAGACTGAAGAATCAGTCTAGATTTTAAAAAAATGATATGGAAAGAGTTGAATGTTTATCAAAGGCGGGCGTGAACCACTTTTAGAACAATAGTTTGCAACTGGAGAATTTATTGAGCTGGTAAAAACATCAAGAGATAACCTTGACAAACATTTTCCTTACCTCGTCTCCTGGATCTGCTTAGAGCTAGTGACAATCTCTGTGAGATTCTCCATCAGAGTGACATTGTCCTTCAGCCAAAAGATTCTTGGCTCTGGATATGCATGCACATCAACTGCAAAGTTTTTAACTTCATGTAGGTTGACTGCTTCCATGGAATTAAAATGGGGTTCCAAATAAATGAACCCTTTATCTGTGAGAGGACAAAGGTGTCCATAAGTATCTCTCAATGACAGACAGTTGGCATACTCAGCCTGGAACAGTGTGGAAACTAGAAATGCACTTTACCATGGACTGTGATGATTACTCTTTTTGTTTTCTTATAGTCTTTGGTCACGTGTCGAGCAGTACACTCATAATCTCCAGAGTCCTTCACTGAAGCATCTGGGATGGTCAAGTTGTAGACCAGTTTCTGAGTTGGAATTTTGATGTCCTCCAGTGAGATGATACCTTTGTTCTTCTGCATTTGGGTGCGAACAAAAAGTGTCATTAGCTGCAGAAGACAATCTAGTGTCCTTATTCATCTTGCATCTAAAAGATCCTTGGATGAAACTCTACACTGATCAGGCTAAGAACTTTTCAAAAGCAGTGCGTCTTCTTGGCTCATTAAATCATCTCCTGTCTTAATTTGTGGAAATTAGTCATACATTGTTTTAAATCTTAACAAGTATTCAGAAGAGCAAGGTAATATTAGCATTGCTATTTAGCCATTCTGAAAGAGGCTTTCTCAATATTTTTATCTGGACTATATTTTTCTATTCAATACTTTAGATTATTTTGTTGTGAGCTGTTGTCCCCTGTGTGTGACCGCATCCAACCCATGATGATGATTTATGCTGTCTTCCTGAAAAAGATTGCTTGGAATTGCTCCTTAATTTTTTTTACAAAAAAAATCTTTATAATTCTGCCTGCGTGAGACTGCCCAGGGTGTGACTATGTGAGGAGTTGAACCACAAGTTCTAGTCCTTCACCTCAAACAAATGTACCACATTACCTCTAAGCTAACATACAGTAAGTATTCTGGTGAAAAGAAGAATCAGGCCTTCCTATTATGATGACATAATTATTAACAAGACACATTTTCTATTCAATGAAAGTATAACATATGGGCAACTTTATGAATACTCTTTTTGTTCCAGTAAGTTTTCCAGGTTCAAAAGTGTGTGTGTGCGTGTTACTACTTTATAACCATATCCCACTTCCTGTCAACCTCATATGTTATTCATCTCCTCATAACATCTTGTGAAGATCTGTGTACTCATTAAACTTTGCAAAACAGAACAAGAACTTGGTTTCTCCTCATCTTAGTTCCCACCTTTCTTTGAAACAACAACTAAAACCTCACCCACAATCTGGTCATTTATTCAACAACAAAGGGGGTTATTTACCACTTTCCCTGGATAATTCCACTGTAAATTCACAACTTCGTTATCCAAGACCACACAAGATACAACAACTGTTTCTCCTGTTTTATACACAGTCTTGGGGGACTCAATCTCAACTTGAAGATGTGAAGTAGCTAGAAGAAGCAAAAGAGAATTAACATATTTCAGAAATATTATACAGAAATTACACTGATTATTGAGGGGCAGGAATTCTCTATTCCTTTGGAAGGAACTTCCACTCTTGACACTTAAATACATTTATCAAGGTATGCCACAGGGGTTTTCATATTATCTGACAGGATTCAAGCATTCTATATGGCAAAGGACATCCAACATTGATTTTGCTTTTTAAAAAGTTGTTCTATTTATCCTTGCTGATTTTGTGGTGTCTCACCTCTTCAATACCTGAACTTCATAGCATGTTAAATACAGTTGACACTTTGTCAAATATGTAATGCAACTGTCCAAACAAGGCATCACATATGTGGCAATATGGATATTTTTCTATGTTCCACATGCTTGTTGTGGATATTTATCTGTGTCCCACATATTTGTTGAAAGGTGCCTGTGCTAAAAGAGCTTTTCCCAGTCTCGGCTGCTACGCTGGCTTTGAAACGTAAGCAATTATACCCTTCAGAGCCTGAGAAGAAACTCATGTTCATTGCTTGTCCTTCACAATGCTACTAAAGAAGTACCTTTGTATACATAGACAAAAAATTCTCCAGACAGGAACTCCACTGCCTTCACTATGGTCTTGCACATGTAGGAGCCTGCAGAGAAGTTTCCGGTAAAACCCTGCCTGTTGTCGTAAAAGGCATACACAACTTTTCCTTCACTGTTTGTTAAAGTTACTTGAGCGTTAGGGTCACTTGTGCGACAAGGGATGGTGGTCGATTCATCTTCCTCAGTAATGACAATGAATACATCTTCTGGAGACGTAGGAACAAAGGGGACAGCTGGATCTGTTAAGAATAAGACATTGTGATCCATCAACAGAGTCAGAGAATTAAGCAGTCACTTTAATATCCTCAACTTCAGCTGAGCACTTTGGGTGTGCACCGTGCAGATAGAAAAGTGCAGAACACTTCCCACCGAACTCCATTACCATGTTCCTTTGCCCTCACAAAGGCAAAGGGACATTAATTGAACACAGTTATGCAAGCAGGACCAGCCCAAGATATTTTAATGAGGTGCAGCAGCAAACAGCATGCTTGTCCCCAAGACAGGACATACACAACTGTGTACACTGACCTGATGCCCACAGGTCTATTGGGGAATCCTGTACCATCCCCAATGCCCAATACTGATCAAGCTATTTTGGCATACTAGGCAGAAAATTGTGCAATTCCTCTCTTTCCCTGCAAAAAATATGGAATAACAATAACAACGACGAGGAGGAGGAGGAGGACGACAACACATCACATGAAAATTTGCTACCATTTAATAACATGCAGAAACAGCTCCCTGATACATTCATCCCACTCTGCTAATGGTAGGGCCGGCTCTGCACGCAAGATCCTTATTGTGTTCTCCTGGGTGCAACTAATTTCCCTCTAGGTCTTTGTCACACAGCTTCTCTCAAAGAAAATCTAGGATCAAGCACCATACAAAAGATCCTATGGTAGAAGGATCTAAGACCTCATCTTTCTTGAATTGCAGCTATCTTGGATCTTGTCATACACAACTGACCAATAATCAAGATCTCAGGAAATGATAAAACTATACAAAGCTTTTGTTTTAACATGTGGGATTTTTAAAATAAATGTTCTTTCATAAATAGCCCTCTCACTAGGCAGCATAAGGCTGTGATCTCAAATGCTAATTGGTCTGGAGGGGGCAGCACTGGCAGGCCCCAGTCATCCCCTTGTTTTAGAGAACACATCTGTGTACACTGACCTGATGCCCTCAGGTCCATAGGGGAATCCCGTCCTATCCCCAGTGCATAGATTCAGCTGCCATTCTCTAGGAAGAATGAATGTTGGTTGGGCTCATCTTCTCCTTTGCCACAAGCAGCAAAATATATTTGACCCATCTTCCTTCTATTTACTCTGCTTCTGGCAGAGCAAATCAACATTCTATAAGGCAATTCTAACAATAGGGGGAGACCAAGCAAAATATTATAACTTTTAAACTAGGATCAACACCAAATTTGGCACAGTTGTAGCAGACAGATTGTTCTTGCTCTGTGCAAAACTTGGGAACATTTGGACAAAAGGTTTTCAAGTTCTGATTTTACAAAAAAAAATATGTAAAACTGCTTCCCCCATTCTGAAATAAATGGCCTGAAATGTCCCTATATTTAAAACAGATCACATAAATTAAAAAGACCAGTCTTGCTTATCTTGAAAGAGACTGGTTGGACCCACCCACTTTGTTTTAATTTGGAAAGAATCCAGGCTACAGGGTTTGAAATACTGATGCTCAAAAGAGGCCTTTCAAAAGGGAAAAACAGTTAATTTGTTATAAGACTGAGCACGTGTGGTACAGGTTAGCTGGCAGGAGTTTTGTGAAATTAAACATTCTATACCTTTGAATGCAGGGGAGGAAAATATTTAGAAAGAAAGAGCACAGAAATAAACTGAAAAGATTGGTTTTCTTTAAAGAGTTAAAAAAAGCTTTGCTTTAAAGAAATTAAGGGAGTGACAGAGATATTGTGCCATGTATCTTCAGCAAACAATCTCTCACGGTTTCTGAGATCAAACAATCTCCTCACATATGTTTTCAAAGGGAAAACCAGCTCCAACACTGGATTACTCAGAACTTTTTTACAACCATTCACAAAGATACATTAAGCAGGGGGAAATCCCGGAACCTAACTCCTTTTTCAATGAGTTAACCATTTCTCACCCAAACAGAAAGCATTTGTCAAGGTTGTTTTTCAACAAGTTGTCTAGGTATCAAAGTGCCTTGAATGTAATGAGAAGAGGGGTATCCTGTAAACCATCTTGACTGCTGATATGGGTGTTGTCAACATTCAGGTTGCCTTTTGCTGTATAAAGTTTGGCATTTTGTTTTCCTGCTGGTGATGTGGGAATGATATTGTACAGCTATATTGGGCCTTTTCCTGGCATTAGGAATTGTGGAAAGAGAAGCACAATATCCCAGACATTCAGAAAATTGAGGTTTTTTGTTTTTTTTAAGAACTGAATGATGGAATCATAGAAATATAGAGTTAAGTCATAGTCACGTTTATAACTGCTGCTTCTCAGACCTGATACTAGCTGATTTTGCACCTGAGGCAGGAATATAAACGGGTGCCCTTCATTTTACTCATACACAACACACACACTCTCTTACACACTTCGCTGCTCTCCAAAAAGAACTGAAGGATTCTAGGAGCAAGTACTATGGAACCACAGGCGTACCGCATAAAGTTCAAAATCCACCATTTGTAGATCAGTTCGAATTTCTGAACCCTGTTTAGTTATTACTTACCCAGTGGTTAAAGGGGAGCAGCTAGTCCCTCCCCTGCTGTTGATCCTTTCCACACATGGAAACGGACTACTCTGCAAATGAAACATTCCTGCTGGAGTGCAGGCTCTGCAAGTGACATGAATTGCTTGCAAGCCTATATGCAAGCACAAACATCTTTCATACAGACTTGCCGTTTTCCACCCGTAGAAATTGACGGTGGAGAGTGACAGAAGCAGCCACCCTGCTCTAAGTGTGGTGGGTTTATGAAATTCTCCGTTTTCTAATGGTATGGTATGTCTGGGATAGCAGACACTTGTTTTGTTTTATTTATTTCTCCTGGACCCCAGTAGTGTATGCACAAGGTAAGGGCTGCCTATGCCAGTGGTCTCCAACCTTGGGCCTCCAGATGTTCTTGGACTTCAACTCCCAGAAATCCTGGCCAGCAGAGGTGGTGGTGAAGGCTTCTGGGAGTTGTAGTCCAAGAATATCTGGAGGCCCAAGGTTGGGGACCATTGGCCTATGCCACATCCTTATTTTTGGCTCTGCTGATTCTAAGCATGGGCCTCAAGGGAAGCACCCAGCCCAGTCCAGTTTTAGCAGTCAAGCTGAAAGGGAGACACCCCTGCTCACATATAAGCTCTGCACATGAGCAAGAACCCAGATTTTTCAGGATTTTTGCTTGTGTGTGGGGGGGGTTTACATACAAGCAATAGTTTGTTAAGATTCAGCCTTGGAACTGAATAGAAGATGATGACAAGAGGAGTCAGGACTAAGCATCCTCCTCTAAGTTTATTCACAGCTCAAGGTTGAATAACATCATAACAGGGCTTTGAAGGGATCCTAAGGGTTATCCACCACCTGTGCCAATGTAGGAAAGGCAAAGTTATGCAGTACTGACAGATGACCATCCAATCTTCATTTTGAAAACCTCCAAGGAAAAGAAGGCCTGGAACCCTGTGAAGTAATTTGTTCTACTGTCCAGCAGATGCTCCCATAAAGAAGCACAATTTTTGAAATTCAGAAGATAGTTCCAATAAATAAGTCATTCTTATAAGAAAAAAATCCAGTGATGTGCCAGATATGTTTTCTGTTCCAGAAAACTGATGCCATCTTAACCATGCCCATTATGAATGGCTACTCTCCATCTGTAGTACAGAAGAGTCTCAACATCTGGAATCAATTTCTGGACTGTGGCCTTTCCTGGAGTAGAAAACAGTAGGTGTGGCATTTTAAGAGGGTAAAAATGTGAACATTTGGACAAGGGCAATGCAGGAAAGAGGAACCCATCCTTTAAGTCAGGGAGGGATATTTTTTCAAAAGTGTTCTCTTCTAAAAATATCCAAACTCAATAACAGTTTATGTTTTTCATCCCAGACTGCAGAGAAAATTGTGTGTAGCCATCAACTACAGAGAAACAAAAACTGTTATAGCACAGAATGTGATACAGGCTCACTGGAACCCAATTTGCAATAATCTCAATGATTATTTGTTTGTTTGTTTGTTTACAAAAACATGTTTCTAGCCCTTAGGATTGCAAATGTGCTTAATTTTTCTTCTTTTACAGTATCGGAGCCACAAACTGCTTTATTATTTGCATACTGTAAAAGAAAAATTAAGCACATTTGCAATCCTAAGGGCTAGAAACTTGCTTAGTATTTGCATACTAATATTCATGTCAGACAGTGGAAGACAGGAGGGCCTGACGTGGTCTCGTCCATGGGGTCACGAAGAGTCGGACACGAGTTAACGACTAAACAACAACAACATTCATGTCAACCAGAACAGAAGGGCAAGGGTAGTTGTAAGGGACACCAAAGTTGTAACGGCACCTTTTGAGAATCAGATTACCTAGTTCAAGAGTCAAAATGACCAGCCATTTGGCTGTTCAGGCATCTTGTGGCTAATCTGTTTTATTATTATTATTATTCAAAAAGACTGGGCACAATCAAAATTATAAAGATATTGACTGGTGTCATATGACAGATACAAGTTTTAACCAAAAACCTAAGTCTCCGTTAAATGTTGACATAGTATATGTACTGTTACTAATATTTCCTCCTCCTCCTCCTCATTATTATTGTTCTTGTTGTTACTACATACTTGAAAATATATGGGAAATGCCTCTAGAGGTAGAAGGGTTGTTGAATTTGCTTCCAATGGCCAGAACAAAAGGCAGAACCTTATTGCCCTGTATAGAGGCTGAGCAAATGTATCTAGTCCCATCATCCCCAAATACTGGGGAGACCTTTTAGCCAATTTGCGCTTGAAAGCTAAACCCATGAGGGGCAGGAATTCCCAGCTGCTTTTGAGAATCAGATCCTTTGGCCCTTTCTTGGATTCTGATGGACTGTACAAGCTGTCGCCTAAAACATCAACATGCCATCATGCGGTACTCCTACCAGAGCCCTTTTGGAAATGAAAATGATGGCAGACTACTCCCAAGAAGACCAATGAGTGTCAGCACGGTTACCCTCTCATTCCTCATCACCTCTCCATCCCAAATCTAGAAATGAAAAAGAATGTCACCCACCCGTTGACACACCTTGGAAATCTGACCCTAAATTCCTCGCTTAAAAACTTTTGGCTCGCTACAGCCATTTTTCAGTTGCCTGCTGCTTAATCTCAAAAAGAAAACAAGTTAAGCAAATAGCAAAATCCTGTGCAACTGCATATGCCAAATGAGACAAATGATTCACATTTTCCTCGATGTAAATAATTTGTACAGGTGCAGGAATCCTATTTTCCTGGGATCATATAATCTGGGCTGACCCTACCAATAGGCAGTGGGAGGCATCTAGATTTAGTGTGTCATCAAAGGTAAGGAAATAATTTAAATTATAGTTTCAGTATTTTTCTCTCCTGGGAAAACACTTGTGGGATTAATTGGTTGATTGATTGGTTGATTAATTGGTTGACTGATTGATTGACTCAGATGTCAGAAAAGCCTGGCCAGTTTTGGGAACTACTATACAATTTGATGGGTAAGGGGAGGAACACACAGGTGTAGTATCTTATTCTGCTTCGGGCAGAAAAAAATGTCTCGGGCCAGTCCTGCAGATAAATATACTTTATTTTTATTTTTTGCTGTAGAGGGTATCTACCTATAGTGTTATTAATAAGCAAATGAAAAGATCCTTTGATCTAAATAGAAAGAGACCACAACCTACAGCATTTCAAAGCTTTGTAGTAAAATACAATAGTAAAACACTACTGCAACGCTGTCTATGTAGGACTGCCCTTGAAGTTAGTACTGAAACTTCAGCAGGTCCACAATATGGCTGCCAGCCTGATTACAGGTACCGTACCAATGGATGTGAAGACATATCCCCAGTCTTGGCACACGTTCACTGGCTCCTGTTGGTTTCCATGCCCTATTCAAGGCACTGGTCATGACCAATAAAGCCATTAAGGGTTTAGAACCTCAATACTTGGCAGAACATCTCTCCCACAAAATAACTACCCAGCCCACCTGCTCCTAGCATCCTTGATGTCAAAAAAACTGTAACACCAAGGAGGCCAAAAAAAGCTACCTCCAGGAATGGCGCTTTCTCAGTTGCGGCCCCTTCCCTCTGCAATAAGCTTTCTACAGAGGTTCACCAGGCGCCTTATTTCTCAGTTTTTAAGGAACTAATCAAGACAGAATGATATAAAGCTGCCATCTACTAGTGTCAAACGATTGACCAGAGATGTTTAAAGGTGTTTTTGTTGCTGTTGTTTAGTCATTTAGTCATGTCCGACTCTTTGTGACCCCATGGACTAGAGCACGCCAGGCCCTCCTGTCTTCCACTGCCTCCCGGAGTTTGGTCAGATTCATGTTGGTAGCTGCGATGACACTGTCCAACCATCTCGTCCTCTCTCATCCCCTTCTCCTCTTGCCTTCACACTTTCTCAGTATCAGGGCTCTTTTCCAGGGAGGCTTCTCTTCTCATGAGATGGCCAAAGTATTGGAGCCTCAGCTTCAGGATCTGTCCTTCTAGTGAGCACTCAGGGTTGATTTCCTTCAGAATGGATAGGTTTGTTCTCTTTCCAGTCCAGGGGACTCTCAAGAGCCTCCTCCAGCACCACAGTTCAAAAGCATCAATTCTTTGATTCTTTTGATTATACAAATTCAAAATGTGTTTTGATTTGTTTAATTCTACTTAAAGGTAGATTTATAGGTTTAGATAGTGACAGGGGTTTTTATTGTATTTATTGTTTTTTGGGGGAGTTATTGTATATTGTGAACCACCCAGGGAAGTGGAAATAAAGTTTCATAGTTATAAATCCAGTTTTAATGTAAGTTAAAGTATATAGGTTCTTCAAACCAAAGGAATTTCTATAGGAAAGATTCTATGTATTCTGTCACCTCCCCAAAGTCAGTTGGAGAAGAAGAATGGATGCATGAGAGTCAGATCTCAGTCAATGAAGAACTTGTAATGCGTACTATGAGACCTTGCAGCAATCACTCAAACACAGCAGCGTATAAACTTGCATTCCATGAACTCAGTACATTCACCTATACCTCAAATAAGGGAGGGTCTTGTTACACCCAAATCTCTTTTTGCTTTGGAACTCAACCAGTATATGGATTTTAAGAGCTTTCTGTTTTTAATAAAGAGAATGGCTTCCACCTGTGGTTTCACAATTTATACAAAGAAAATTATGGCTTCCTTAAAACTTTGTATTGTTTATGATGAAAAGAGACATTTTCATTATGAATGAAAATAAACAATACAAGCCCTGCAACTCTGGCAACTTGTTTATGGTTCTAACCTTGTTCTGAAATTTCAAGCAAGGGGTAAAATTTACCTTGGATAAGCAGGAAAATTACATTGTGCAGGTAATAATGCAAGGTATAATTAGCACATTAAATTGTGATATGGACTACAGTATGAATTTATGATGCTGAAACAGGTTAATTTTGTGGACTACAACTCCCAGACAGCACTATGTTAGCTGGGGGATTCTGGGAGTTGTAGTCACAGATATAATTTTTCCTTACAACCATAGAATTGACCTTATAATTTTATGAAGACCAATGCTCTCCCCTTAACAGGACTGAGCCTTTGGCATCTCTCTCAAATTAGTCAATAGTGACCCTTGCCTTGTTTCTCATAATCACAGATGCTGTAAATTTCCCACTTATATGGTTCTTTAGGGTTTACATAATTTTCAGAAACTGATATAAAGCCACATTAATTTCATACTAGCTTCAGTGCAAAGAAACGTTTATGCATTATCTGCAAGGTCCGTCCAATGATATTTGATTGGAAAACACAGTATTTCAGTGGAGAAGAAAGACAGTTGGATTTTCCATTTAAACCAGTTGGGACCTTATAGAATGTGTGTGTTTTTGCATTGCCTTTAAAATGACTCCCCTTGGACCAATCTATAAAAACTTCATATAGTAAGATGCTGGATGAGAACAGCAGAACACTGATAAATTGTATGCCATTTGGCTGGATTACGCCAAAAATATAGGCCTCTGGAGACGGAACCAAGTAAAAACGAAAGCCACAATGAAACCAAAACTAAAATCAACGTGGCAATATATTATTTGAAATGATAGCTAGGGATTAGATGTTTGAAATTAAAGAATTCGTGGATCCCAAAGGCAAATTATGGGACTGGGAGCCCTCTAACCCAAGTTCCTCTGTGAGAACGCATTCCCTCTGGCACCTTCGTGAGTCACAGGTAATCCTTGAGACTCCCACAGTGCTGCAAGGCTCTTTTCTAACAGTTCAGAGAAGCGGTACACAAATAGCATGGAGGTAAGAAGGCTCCCAATCCCATAATTTGGTTGCAAACAGGAGCTATAGAGAGAAATGACCCCTCCCCACATCAGTAACAGAAGCTTTGTATTCCACCCACACTTCTTCAAACTGTGCATTTTCCTTTGCTAAAAGAACATTAAGCTTTATGCTGGGCTTCTCCATCATTTCTCTGTCCAACCGCCACCTTAATGGCCAGCTATAGAAATTATGAAATTAATCTACTCACCTGGCACATAAATGTAGATATCCTTCCCCTCAACCTCACCATCTTCTTCTTGAGAATGATTGTAGTAGCAAGTATACAATCCAGTGTGAGAAGCTGACGCGTTTTTCACTTCAAGCACAGTCACAAAAAGGCCACTGTTGTTCTCTTCATTCCTGATGTCTACAGTATCGTTGCCTTCAGGTATTGGGTATTGCCAATTGACTTCACTGTCCCCAGAACATTTCAGAGTGAAGGGGGAATTCAGCTGCACAACCATCTCATCTTTGTTTGGAAGAATAGCAGGAAACAGAGACTGGCAAGTGGACAGCCATGGGCCTGCAAAAGGGATGGATAACATGTTACCTGGATGGACATTTTTAACAGTGGCCATTTCTGTGGAGTATTTATTGGTCTGTCTGTGGTGAATCATGTCCAAATGTGCTTTACAGGCACCTTCCATTGGGAGAGAATGGCCTAAACCCTATTACGTATTTACTCCAGTACACAATGCAATCGGTGTCAACCTCAATCGTGAATTGCCACAATTGAAGACATCAGTGTAGTCATTTGCTGTTTTACATCAAGTCAGGATTCTGGCCAGTAAGCAGAGGTAATGAGAAATCTAGCTGAAGACCATAACAACTATGTTAAAGAGATTTCTCAAATATGTTTTTCATTTTTGATATATATTAAAAGGTGGCATGATTGTAACATATATATGCCTTTATAAATACATGAATGTTTTTCAAAAAAAGTATTCATGCTGTTTGATAACTGAAGTGAAAGGTAGTTTACAGTGCATCATATTATGTCACTGGATTGCTTATTTCTGTACACAAATACCTCTTTCATCAACTTCAGGTTGACATCCTTGAACTTTGCTCATTACAAGGAAGTGTTCTGCCCTTGATGAGGAAGTAAACATAGTCTCAAAATTAAATTAAATGGGATCCTTCAGGCACTCACACTTACAGACCTACAGGAACTGGTATGTAATGAATTTCTGTAGTGTTTCAGCAAGAGCAAATTTGCTTGTGTCACTTTGCCTTAACCGTACTCAGGATGAAATGGACTTCATTCTGCTGGGGACAGCTGAAGTTGGCAAACATTTTTTAGTGAAGTTGAGCATTACCTGTCAAGAAACAGCTCAGGATCAGGTACATCCTTCGGGAAGGACCCATAGTGATGAGGGTGAACTGAAACCAGAGAAGAAAATAAAGGATATGATTACTTAATGAATGAGTGGGCAAAGGCAACAATATGTGGGCAATACATCTGAGCATCTTGGACATGGACCCTGAAGGCCACTTATGCTTCTGTATATCAAAAATGACAACTTCTACTTATTCTCCATGACATTCAAATCCACATTACACTGGACCAACAACACACTGTGTTTCAGAATGAAATGGCCTGTTTGCTTGTTGAATCTGCTATGTAGGTGCAAAACAAACAAACAAAAACCTGATGGCCAACTTCAGATTCCCTGATATTCTTTTTTCTAGCCCTTCATGTTTAAACTGGACTTGGACTGGTCAGCTCTTCAAACAGAGGACTGTCCTCCAAAAATCTCATCCACCATTTCTTAATTCCTCTACCAAGACTAGAAACATCAACCACACAGCGTTCTGTGTTCTGAAAATCAGTCCCCACAACATGTTAAGGGGATATTGTTAAATTTCAGCCTTCTTAATTACACATTGGAACCCAGCTTTGGAACGCAAAGCAGAAAAGACTGCATCAGATACTAGGAGGTATTGGTATTGAGAAGAAGAAGAAGAAGAAGACGAAGAAGAAGAAGAAGGAGAAGAAGAAGAAGACGAAGAAGAAGAAGAAGGAGAAGAAGAAGAAGACGAAGAAGAAGAAGAAGAAGAAGAAAGGGACTCTCAGATCATGGTCACCTCTTTCCAGATTCAGCGCCAAGGATCTTCTCCAAAATTCCTTGGTTAGTACTGCAAATGTTAACCTCTAACTGGAGAAATTTCTTATGAAAATCAACCAAAATAAATATAACCCTTGCTTTGTCCCAGCTCTGCTCAGTGCTGGATTACCAAACAGTGAAAACCTCTTCAGCACTTGCAGACAAATAAAACTGTCCTGAGATGTACTGAGCACTGTGAGATTATTGAATTCCAAAGGGAAAATACAAAGAACCAAAAGGGCGGGGAGGGGGGAGTCTGACATGATTTGCTGAAATGCTTAAAGATTCAAATATATTTGTTTTGGAAAATACGAATTTCCTTTATAATCTATACTGAAAGTTCTTGATATGGGAAAGATTACAAGGTGGGATCCCTGACACTATTTTGTTTGATTTCTTTAATTTCTTTGATCTGGCAGTACATTAAATGACACCACTGGACTGTCTGTTTCAAAGTTTGTAGAATAGAGTGTCGTAAATTAATGAATGCTCTTGCAAGAACTAGAATGATTTTTTCCCCATGTGCCATGTGTAATTTGCAGTAGAAGGCAGACTTTCTCAAGCTTGGATTCCTGGTTACTGTTAACTACAACTCCCACCATATCTACAACTCGGGGATAAACTCCCAATATTTGATCACCCAAGGTTTGGAAAGGCTGATCAAAGTGTCTTCCTGCTCCTCTCCAGAAGAAAAAAAGAAAAAGAGAATATCAAAGAAGGCAAAAATGTTGCGGCACCTTAAAGACTAACTGCTGCTGTATTTTAATGTGAGCTTTTGTGGACAAGTCCACTTCCTCAGATGTAAGACTGGTGTCTGAGGAAATGGACTTGTCCATGAAAACTCACACTGCCTTTTTAATTTTTTTAATTTTTTGTTTTGTTTTTGCCTGGAATGCTAGCACAAACTAACAGCTACTTCTTCCAAATCTCCAGAAAGAAACGCTGAAATGCACTTTCAAGCAAAATTCCTGCCAACAGGAACCTTAGAACTGACTTTCATAGAAAAAAAGAGTGAGTGAGTAGCTCACAAAAGGCTCCATGAACAACATTGATGAGGTGTGCCCACAGGACCATTTAAATCTGGTTGCCTGGCAAGCTTACACCAATTTCTGGCTAGGTTACATACAAGAGACTTGCTAGTGTGCAATTAGCAGGAGCTGAAACACATTCTGAACATTTTCCTTGTTTCAGGAACAGCCACAACTCTATGGTCAGGGCCCACTCTTTGGTTGAGCAAGGACATTTTACAGCATCCAGCTCTTATACTGCCCAAAGGTGGGTTTATCCAAAGAGCTGCTCCTAAATAAGTGATCTAGCATTGCTGACCATTTTCATATACAGGGGCATATGGCCCCTTGATGGCATTCCCATCTATGGGCATTGGTGTTCTGTTCGAGCCGCATGAAACCCAGCACAGACATATGTGGAGGAGCAGACTGCCTTGTTCACTGAGCAGCAATATCAATGGGGATCATTAAGCCAGCGTGCAGGGAGACCTGAAGAAGTGATTTACTGATCCCCAAGAGGGCCTGAGCCGAGCAACGGGGCTGTTCTTCTGTAAGCGAGACATGAATCATGAGCTGCATTCCGCCACAGAGGCTGACGAGCAACCAGCCAACAGTCACAGGCTCAGCAGCTTCGGAAATTCAGCAGATGGCATTCCTGCAGAAACAACTCATTTGCCTTGGGTTTTTTCAATTAGCAATACGGGCCATGTGTTTATGTAAGAGCCTCCCACTGATAACAGGCTCTTGCACATCAAAGTTGTCTTCCCTTCCAGCCTCTTTCTTCCCCATCCATCTCCCTTTTTTAAAAAAAGCACAGTTCTATCCTGTATTTTTTCAAGATAAAGTATCTACAGCACATACATCTTGGAAGGATTTCCATGCTCTTCTTCCATTCGTTAGCTGGTAAGCTGCTTCTGCTGTACTTACAGGCCAGTTCTATACATTTAGTCAAAAGACAGACCTAATCAGAGCAGTAAAACAGACTCTGAGTGCATGGTTTTAGAACCGCAATTTTCTGGAGTCATCTTGATCAATGAACAGTAAAAATAAGAAAAGTTTGGATGAAACCATGCAAACAGAATGGAAATCCAGAAATAAGAGCACATTGTCATTTCCCACAATGGCACAGTATTCTCAGATAAATGCTTTTTACCATTCCTTCTGTTTTTGTTAGTTGAGTTTTATGCAGCCAAAACAAATATAACCCTCCAGCAAGGACATACAGTATATTTGTACGAGGGCACCCCAAAACCAGTCCAGTGAGAACTGAACATCTCATTGTGACCATGGAATTTGACTGATTATTGGGTAGTGGGGGAAGGGGTAAAAACAAACCACAGCCCAGATGGGGAATTGAACTCTGTGGCTGGCATCTTGAACAGAAAGTGGTTTGCATTTCAACATTTTGTTACAGGCCCTATTTGTTTAATGTCCATCTCATTTAGGCTTCAGCTAAGAAACATGAGAATCCCTTTGCTGACCCATATTTAGAAAGAATGAAGGGAGCTTTGCCATATATGCTGGATCTGGTGTCAACTGGAAAGCACTAAGATAATTATATTAGTGAGGGAGGTTTGCATGCTTGCTCCCCTGAAATCCTAAATGTATTTATTATTTTAATGTACATAGATATTGAACACACATAACATACAGATGTTGACTGGATAGCTCAATGAAAGTTGGGCATCTGTGGAACCAAAGGCCAAGAGTGTGATTCCCCACTGTGTTTCCCAGAGGAACAGCCAGCCTGTGTAGCCTTGGGCAAGCTGCACTGTCCCCAGAAAAGGGAAGGGGAGAACATTTTGGAGTACAGTACTCCATATCTAGAAAACTCTGAAAAGTCATCATAAGTTAGAATCAACTCAACAGCACATCATCATTATCATCTTAGAACTGCAGAGGTGAAAGGGGCCCTATGAACCATCGAGTACAGCCCCTGTCAAGGAGGCTCAGTGGGGAATCAAGCATCCCAACGTGTGTCTTCAGCCAAATGCCTAAGCCTCTGAGCTATCCAGCAATTAACATAATCATCAATCAACCAATGTCCAGAAGTACTCTGTGCTGTAATGGTACACACTAGGTACACAAATTGTATTCATACACTAGGGTGCCATTTTGCTTAGAAAAATTCCTGTGGGCACCACTGGGTGAAATATGAAGAGGAGAACAGAATAAGAGTTTGTGAATAAAAAATTGCACTATTCAACCCAGTCCTGTAATAGTTAGTCAGAAATAGGTCCCATGGAGTTCAATGAGATTTATTTGCTAGGAATAAAGGCACAGATGGCAGTTCAAAGTCTGCTCACATTTCATCTTCACAATCATAGTAACCCTCAAAAAATAAATCACTCGGTTCTTTCAAGACTTGTGATTGATCTACCTGTTTTTTGTTTGCTTGTATTTTTTTCCTTTTTGGGCAAAAGTTACACTCTCCTTTATTCATTTCTAAAATCAATAATGAAAAAAAAGTCAGATGTTATGGCCAACATTTTGTTTTGGTTTTTTTTTCCTCCTACAAACTCTGCCTTTAATGTATGAGGCTTATAGCATGACTTGTTGGTTCCATTCCCTACAGGGTGTACAGAAAATGGAAACACTGTCTTCCATCTGCAGCATCTATTAGTGGGCAATCTTTGTTGGAAAAAATGAGATCAAAACCAACAGCACATGAAAATCCGTGTGTGTTTTTTTCCAGCCTTGACCAAACATGGTGCAGCTTTTCAAAAGTGAGTCAAGGTAACACCACAATCTTTTGCACAATTATTCCTAAGTAAATGTATATTCCACTGTAAGCTGTTGTAATCACAGAAATGCACATGCTGCAGTTCTATGCAAAGAAGCCCCTTCTAAGGTAACATGCATAGGATTCACCTCCAAATTGGCAAGTCTCTTGGTTATAATCAAATCTTGACAGATGGCTACCTGTTTTTCTAATGTCTGCTGTTCTCTTATTGGTTGTATGAACTCTAGATGTCACTTGGACATTCATTGTGGAACTTTTCCTTTTTTAGAAATAGATGTAACATTTGGTTTTTAGGTCTGTGTGTGCTTGGTTTGTATGTTTGTTTGTTGCCTGCACTATTTAATTGTTTCATTCAGTAATGTTGGTTCGCTCTTTATATGAATGTTCTATCTGGACATTTTGGGGAACGTTAAGTGTATACTGTGTTTTTTTTCCCCTATAGTAAGAGACAGCATATATCAAAATAAGTTTTAAAATAACTTGTCATCCACTAGCTGTCTATATAACAGCCTATTGTAAAAATTC